ATGTCAAGATTGCCCTTTGATATTTTATTAATATAAATTATAAAATATCAAAATCCTTAAATATTTACTCTTTTACACTCATTACACCTATATATATATATATATATTTATATTTAAATGCATTATGTATATATCTATATGTATATGTATTACTGTAAACCCCAAACCATTATACACCTAGACCCATAACATCCACCTCAACACCTACTAACCACCACCACCGCCTGAGTTGGATCACTCGGCCATCACCACTTCCACCTTCCTATTGCACCCAAAATGAGCCACTACCACATTTGCCTTCTTATTACTCCCAAAACGAACCCATTCACTGATTCCACGCTACTATAGCTCCCATGTAGGAGGCGAATCGGATTACTATGCTCCGCCATCACCATCACGGTAGCAACCATAGTTAGAGGAGTACAACTACTCCGAGAATGAACAGAACGCGCAGCGGCAATCGTCTTCCTCATCCAGATTGTCTTCCCTACATGCGTTGCACGCGCCACCGTGGAGCTTTCTACAACAAGGCCAGAGAATATGAAGCAGTGAGGGGTAGGGATTGATTCGTGGAGCTCTCTACAATTGGCAATTTTAGGAACATGACCAGAGGAATCAGAAGCGACCGCCACCACCGTCGATCAGAAGCGACCACTACCACTACCGACAAGTAAAAGCGACGTCGATGTCAAGGCCAGATCCAAGGGTTCAAGAACAGCCCCTCACTTCCAAGACATAGATATTAAAATGACACTGTTAGCGGATCCATTCTGACCTCACGCCGGTTAATACTGTCATCATTCCTCTCCGACGCCAACGTTACCGTTGTAGAACGCTCCGATTGCCTACGCTTCATTGCCCAAATCAACAACGCATTCGGCGACAACGTGAGGGCCCACACCGTCGATCACAAAAAGGATCTCTTCGTCGTTCCGTCCGAGTCCCTCTGGTTTAAACTCAGAGCTTGCCGGCTTCTTTGGACGATGCAACACATAGCTCACACTTCTATTGTATGAAGTGTCGCCAGTGTGATCTTGGGCTTGAAGCTTCTCTCTCTCAATCTGTTTGGGCTTAAGCCTCTCTCTCAATCTGTATTTATATATATAGAGAGAGAGAGATAAAGGGTTCTGTCATTCCTTTCATGTAACTTTGTTAGGCTTGTTTGGGTTAGGGTTTGGAGGGGAAAGAGGAGAAGAGAATGAGGAGAGAGAAAATTGGGTTTCCTATATGGGTTGTACCCGGACCCAAAGGTATTTAAGTTAATAAAAAATGATTGTATTTGTCAATTTTATATAAAAAGGTAATAAAGTCAACTCACTTTGTTTATTAAATTTGAGGGATCCTTGCGCCGTCATTGTACTTTATTCTTTATTCTTTTTCTTCTTCTTTTTTTTTCTAGTTTTTGACATATACAACTCTTTCAAATTTCAGGTGCATACGAGGCTTTAAATATGCATTATAACCCTCAAGTAGGCACGTCCACCACTTAAATTTCACACATAGCATGAAACTCATACAATTTTTAGGCCATAAAAAAAAGAAAAAAAACTTAGTGCACACACCCTCAGATTTAAAAACATTCCTCATTTTTTCTAGCAACAAATACTACTGGAATGGAGATGTGGTGTAAAATTATACAAAAACTACCTTATTTAAATAAATAATTAATTAAAGTAACAAATATATCGTCCTACCAGACACCATCGTCTTACAACATACCAACACACCCTTAACTGAATTCTTAATTACCAATTAATATAATAAAATAAAACAAAATATGTTCAACAGTGATTTATATATAATATATTACGTGTTTAAAAAAAATATAAATAAAAATTCTAATAATCAAACGGTTGAGAAGATAGACAAAAACGATCAGTCTTTTGAACTGACTCTATCTAGACTAGCTTGATCTCTCCATACATTCTTTTGAACTAACTCTATCTTGATCTCTCCATACAATCTTCTCATAATCATACAGGAGGACAGCCAACTGAGAGATACGTATGAATGGCATAGGAATAGGTGGAATTGATTCAGATTGTCATTTTCCCATCAATTCTATTCATTTAATTTCCTCCAATACTTCCAAATTTAATAATAAATTAGTAATAAAGAAAAAAAATGTATTGAATAGCTAATTTTAAAAAAATAAATATACTTTATCCTTCATGAATTTATAGGCAAAGGCTGCAAAGTTATTGAGGGTTTCATGATAATATGTGGTTGATGTTCATTCAAATGGAATGTTATGTCAGGAGGTAAACAAATTGTGACCAACAATGTCATGCAAAAATTGCTCATTTAAACATGGTAAAATTCGCCAATTTTTTTTTTTTTATTTATAAATAAACTAAAAACTAATATACAATAGGCAAATATCCTTCAAAATTTTAAATACCTGCATTTTAAAATTGGGCAAATAAATACATTCATATTGTTTTACTGTGAAATGCCTAAATTGCCTTTACAAGTTATTTGGCCTTGTTTAATGTCACGTGAAATTGGATCTTATGGAAACAAATCACCTTAGAAATGTTTCTATTTCATTTTTTGACATCTCAACATCGAATGGTGCCCCAAAGGCATAATGGTATTTGGTATGGATCTGAAAGTAAATTCTTGAAATCTTACTTTCGAATGGCATTCTTAACTTGAAAAAAAAAAACATGAAATCTTACTTTCGAATGGCATTCTTAACTTGAAAAAAAAAAAACATCGAATGACAAATGAAAGTCAACATCTTTGTTTAATTTTACGCCACCGTTCCAAAATTTTTGTTTATCTCTTATTTTATAATGCCCCAAAGTGTGTCATATTTCAAAAATAGATGTACATGCATCATCCTTATTCTATAGTGTCATAACTACTATTTATACAACTTTAATTTTTTTTACCTTCTTTACTTCCTTTCCATTTTTTTTTTTTTCTTCTGTGCTATACTTTTTTTTTTTTTTTTGAAGGTCCTCTCAAAGAAGATAATTTATTCTACATAGAATTTTATTTTTGGCAATCAAAAGAGAGAATTTATTCAATAGTGACTTCTTTTTGGTACAATCGAAAATAATTTATAAAAAAAATTATTCAACATAATTTTTTTTTGGGTCCTATAAAAAAATTTATTTAGTTTTTTTTTTTTTTAGGGGTGACAATTCGTATTCGTTGGTCGTAATTGTGTCGTGTCGACCTAAAGATATTCTACTAAATATCTTAACCCGAACACGACCAGTTTAATGTCCGTGTCAGGGACCCTCAATAATAACTCGACCTGTTTATTAAACGGGTTACAAGTGTAATCCGTTTAATGACCTATTTAGTAAAACAAAAAATTATATTATTTAAATTATTGATAATATTCAATTAAAAAATAAATACTATAAAAATATAAGTTTCAATCCACAAATATTACTAAATACTCTTTAGTCTACAAAAGAATAAATTATATGATATAAGTTTAAATGATTATTTTGAAACCTAAATATAAATTTATTAATGACATGTATAGTTAAACGGGTTATACGGGTTGACCCACTTCAACCCAAATACGATATGATTAACTAAACGAGTTAATTGTGTCAAACTTTTTACGATCCGAACACGTTTAAGGTCAACTCAAACCCATTTAACTCGCATGTGTTCGAGTCGTGTCAAACTTTGCTATCCCTATTTTATTTATATTTTTGTCTTGTCAAAAGATATTCAAAATATTAAAGATTATAGATAAAGAAAGGAAATTTAAAAGAGTAATTGTGTCATCTAAAAAAAACATTTACTTATAAAGTTAGGGTATAATTGTCATTTCTGTTAAGATTAAAGTGCAAACGTAGAAAAGTGGAGTGTTTACAATTATAAAATGGGCAAAGTACAATAAACCCCCCTCGACTATGAGCATTTTCCATTAAAACCCCTTATATAATTTTTACCAAAGAACCCCGTCCAACTATTCAAGAGGGTAAAAGAGTAGATGTTTGGACCAAAATGCCCATATTGCTATTTTATTTAAATTCTAATTCATGCAAACTTCAAAAATTCATATCTTACAAACCATACTTCCAAAAATTACAAATAATATGTGCATGGAAAGCTTATGAAATAAGGATTCCATAAATATATGATTTGTTTAATAAGCTATCATAACCAAAAGAGAAATAGGCAATCTAAAAATCCGCTCCAACAATTTATTTTATTTTTTAAAAAATAAATACTCGGAATATTTGTAAGAAATTTTTTAAAATTATTCATTTACATATGGAGTATAACATATAAAAAAATTAGCCCCAATAGAGACTGATTTTATGAGATATCATATTGTGAATCAAAGTATTTTCATTTCACCATTTAAAAAATATATATATCAAAATAAATTATCGGTCTCTGTTGGGGCTAAATTTTTTATATGTTATACATCATACTTAAATAAATAATTCTATAAATTTTCTAATAAATATCCCAAGTATTTTATTTTCGCTAGAAGAGATTTTTAGATTGCCTATTTCTCTCAGCTCAGTCCATATGTAATAAATTTAAAAATAAAAAATAATTCTATAAATTTTCTAATAAATATCCCAAGTATTTTATTTTCGCTAGAGGAGATTTTTAGATTGCCTATTTCTCTCCTCCCAGTCCATATGTAATCAATTTAAAAATAAAAAATAAAAAATTAATACTACTATTCTTATCAGCTAAATATATGTAATCAATTTTTAATATTAATCTGTCTTCCTATGAGCCCAATTTAACCCAATTCATAGTACTACTCTTCTTCTTTCTATCAGCTAAATTCATATCGTTAGTTCCCTACTTTGCAATCCTGGCTCCGCCTTTGGGATTAGTCTAACTAACAAACAATGTTTCATTTTCCCTTCCCATTTTATCCTATACTTATACTTGAATCCACGTGTCAATGTGTCATACATAATACACACTGGTGTGTATATGTATTGTTGAAGAAACATTATTTTCTGAAAATCTCTAAATTCTACAAAATTTCTCTCTTTCCTATGGAGTTTTCGACTTTGAACCCTAACTTCACGAATGTAATGCAAGTGTCAGCACGAGAGTATGAGAGTTGTACTGCAGATTATGCCTTCAGGACCTTCACAAGTGGTCCGGCGACCGTTCCTTTGATTGAGAAAGGTGTCTTTTATTTTGTATGCAGTGTCTCAAACTACTGTACCCTTGGACAGAAGGTAGCCATTACTGTCAGTAAATGGTCCCCTGGTTCTGCACCAACATCGCCTCCTTCGGTACCCTTTTCGGGGTCTTTAGGGCCGGATGAGTCTCAACCTTCAGAGGATGATGTTGCTTATTCCTCTAAGGCCCCAAATAGTGCGGACTTGGCTATGTCAAAGGTTGGTCTATTTGATAATGGAGTCCTTTTAGGCTGGCCTTATGTTTTGTGGTTCGTATTGGTTTTGGTCTTTGAATGGTTCTTTTAGAGAAAGTGGACTTGTATGCAAAGGTTGTGCTAACATTATTCTAATGCAGTGGATTCTGACAACAACCGTAGACTATTTTTGTATCAAGTTTTAGGGTTGGACTGCTTGAGCTGTGTGTCAATGCATCTGGAGTCCACTTTCTTGTCATTTTAATATTTCCCTTCTTGGTTTCCTTTAATATTTGCTTTTCCAATAACAGAAAATGAAAAATCTTAATGAATCTAAAAATAAAACCCTTGTATTGAGTAGTTGGTTTAACATTAACAATTCAATGCCAAGCAAGGTTTAAGAAGTCCTCTCATGATATACATTGTTTGAAACATAATTTTCAGTTGGTATGTGTTATTTGCATTGCACTAGGGTCCCCCAAAAAATGAGCACGTTTTTATTTTATTTTTTTATTTATTTATTTTTTTTTTTGCAGTAAATAAAATGAGCGGAGTTTGATGAGCCAGAAAAATAGTTTTTCTGACACATCATGTGAAGGAAGCATAACAGTCACCATTCAAGGTAAAGATCGGAGTTAGGATCCTTTGCGGTATAACACGCGTGTTGTACTGTATCAGACGAATTTTAATACTTCCACGTGTGAGTTGGGATCTATCGAATTTTGTGTGTTGTACGCACAAATTCTCAACTTATACAACATGTCGCGTGTTATATTGTATCAGACGAATTTTAATAATTACACATGTAAGTGGGGATCTGTCGAATGTTATACAACACACATGTTGTACGCAAAGATTCCCAACTTATACAACATGCCTGTTGTATTGTGTCAAACGAATTTAACAACATGCCTGTTGTATTGTGTCAAACGAATTTAGCACTTGCGTGAATATTAAAACGATAATGTTTGAGTGTCCAGCAGAACAACAATGGATGCGTGAGTAACTTGTCAATTGAAAAAGAAAAAGAAAAAAAAGGGTATTGCATACTTGTGTTGAGGCTGGATGGCTTATATTTTAGTTGTTACTAGACCAACCATATGATTAAATTTCAAGTGAACGAGAGTCCTAAATGGGGGAGTTCATTATCACCATCACTTAAAATTCAACAAACAACAAATTTAAGGGAACCCACAAAATTCTATTTAATACCGGACCCAAGGATCTCTTCTCCATTGGTCCAAATTTCCCATAAATAAGGCACGGAATTTTTTTTATTTACATTTTTAGTACGTTATATTTTTTATTCAAAATTTAAAAATACACCCACTCAATATTACACTTAAACATTCTTGGCCCACTAATTTCTTTTGGATCCAAAAAATAATTGTCTCTCCTTTTCACTCTATACAGTCCCATATTTGTGATAATTAATTCTCTCTCACACTCTCACATTCCCTTTCATTTTTTGAAAATACCGAATAATATTCAAGCATCCATTGATATTTGTTGTTAAAAAAGAAAGTAAAGTAAATCGATTTTCTTGTTGAACGGGTCTAAAAGGTCAAAATAAAAAAAAATATGAGTCTCACACCAACACAAGTTGGACATGGCCCCACACATGCGGACAAGCCCAAAAAAAAAAAAAAAAAGAATTAAATTCTCATATTTGTTACAACAAATATCAATGGATACTAAATTTTATTATTCTTCAACCGCGCCCCCTCAAAAAAAAAAATCTGGATCCGCATCCGGACGCCAACACCTGGGGCACTCCTGCGTCCAGAAGCCAACACCTGGGCACTCTCGCGTCTGGACGCTATCTTCATCCGCCCCACCAGCTGCACGCATGAATCAACCCGCACGCCCCATCTATCATTTCGCATCCGAACGCCAGCCTACGGGGCTCAACTTTGATTTGGTCAAAGTTTGTTCCCTTTATCTAGGAAATTTGAATTTGAACGGGTTAGGGTTGTTTGGCAGCCTATTTTGAGATTAAGAGAGGGAAAGAGGCTAGGATGAGCCATCATTATGATATTTTGAAAAATATATTGGAGAGAGAATAGTTTTCTAGGGTTGGATGCTAAGTTTTGTAACAATGGGGCTGTAAAGAAAATCTTCTTCTTCTTCAATCCTTGAAGCTACTGCCATGTCCATGAGAAACTAACTCCTTTTCTAGGGAGTTGATATCACATAAACCAAGTAAACATGTTGTAATTGTCTTTTTTAATTTGGGGATTCATCTTGTATATATTTGATTTCATAAATTAGAAGTTGTTTATATTGAATCGATGTGTTTTTACATTGATTCAATGTATGTGATCTTCATTTGAATATATAATTATGTTGATATGTTTATCTTGTCTTAGAAATCATATTGACACAATTATGCACTTGATATTCCTACAGTGATAATGGAATGAATTTATGAAATGGTTATAGTGGCATGTTAATTGAAAATTTGTATAAATTGTACTTAAGGAAGATGGACCATACTACACTTTTAGGTTAATTTATGTTAGGTAGATGATCCATACCAACTGAAAATAATTTATGATAGAAAATCGAATTTCATGTGTTTCAACATACAATTGAAGAACTTTGATAGGCCAAGCTTAGGGAAGATGGTTCATACCACAACTTAGTTTAGGTGAATGAACCATACCAACCAAAGATGGGTTATGCTTAGTTCTGAAATGTATGAATTTCTAGAAGATGTTGTGGTTGTTTCATACTTCTACACATCATTTTATATACATAATTGTTTATCCCCAAGTTGAATGCAAGTTAGCATGTTTATGAAATTTTGGTGAAGTCAATTCCCTAACCTTCTCTTTAAATTCGCAAATCAATTGAATCATTTTACTTTCTATTTTAAGTTTTAATTTCATGTTAAGTAACAAACAAATCAAATCATCATATCTCTAATCAAGTTTGAAGTGATTTTACAATTTTGGTTGCCATAAACTAGCAATCGTTGTGAACCCTTATAATAACCCTATTCTACGTTGTTAAATGTGCTATTGCAAGTAGTAATTTTTAGTGGTAACAAATTATACCCATCAATTTGTCACTGAATATCATCATTGCTGAGCACATTGCATTCTCTGGGCACCACCATGCATGTCTTCGTCTTCATCATATGATTCTTGGGCCTGCTGATGCTTCCGCCGCATATCCTCCTCCATGTTCACATCATGCAGAGTAGTCTCCTCACATTCATCCAACTCCATATCCGACATCTGCATTGAAGGCTTTGGAGGCAGCACAACCTCGAGAGCCTTGCACTGTTCTGGAGTCATGGAGTCTGGGAATTCCACAGTGTAGTGAATGTACAATTTCCCTCTCAAGAAAGGTCGAGTACATAGGCATTCCCTCGTCATTTATCGCCTTAAATTGGTCTGTAAGAGAAATAAAAATCAACTATAACCAAGGGCGAATCCAGAAATTGTTAATGGGTTGTGGTAATATTTCTTTAGATGGATTAATAATAGTGATAATTGGGTAGGCTTGAGTCCACCCAAACCCACTCCTAGATCCGCCAGTGACCATAAACAATACAAATATCTAAAAATAATAATAACATCCACAAAGTGAGACATAAATAGAATTCAAGTATCTTCACAACAAGATATTAGGATGATACGGTTGCAGTTAAAGACCGAAGAGATCCACAAAAAGAAAAATCATGCTAAATATGAAAGAAATAATAAGTATAAAATAAAATGTGTTGGGGTGGTATGGAAATGTGCAAAGAAGAACTAGGGGGAAGAGGAGAAAGACCGAAGTTAATATGGATAGAGTTAGTAAGGAATGATATGATAGCATGTAGATTGAGTGAGACTATAGCATAAATAAAAGGAAAAAGAACACAGGATTCATGTAGCGGATCCAAGTAATTGGGAAAAGAGGCTTGATTGTTGTTGTTGGGGGAGGATTTATAAAAGAAAGAAAAATTACAGAAAAGTCCTACTTTAAAAAATAACAATGAACAAAGGTAGTAGTATTTTATTCATTGATGGGACTTATTTTCTGAATCTCTAACTTGTACAATATTTCCCTCTTTCCCTGCAGTATTCGACTTTGAATCCGAGCTTCACAATGTAATGCAAGTGTCAAGACAAGAGTATGAGAGTTGCACTGCAGATTATGCCTTCAGACCTTCACAACTGGTCCCGCGACCGTTCCTTTGATTGAGGAAGGTGTCTTTCATTTTTCATGCAGTGTCTCAAACTAATGTGCCCTTGGCCAGAAGATAGCCATTACTGTCAATAAAGGGCCCCCTGGTTCTGCACCAACATCGCCGCCTTTTGATACCCTTTAATTTCGGGGTCTTTAGGGCCAGATGAGTCTCAACCTTCAGAGGATGATGTTGCTTATTCCTCTGAGGCCCCAGATAGTGTGGACTTGTCTATGTCAGTGGCTCCTAAGAGAAGGGTTGGTGTATTTGATAATGGAGTCCTTTTTGGCGGGCCTAAAGTGTTGTGGTTTGTTTTGGTTTTTGGTCTTTGAATGGTTCTTTTAAAGAAAGTGGACTTGTATGCAAAGGTTGTGCTTGAATATCATTGGTTCGAGTTCGAGTCTCAAGAGTAGCCACCATGTAAAATGTCAAAGTTAAGTTTGTCTCCAGTCCTTCCTCTTTGACTTTGCTAAAGCGAGACCAAAATTGGATAATGTTTCTTAATTCCCATGTATCTACAGTCTACTGCACTTACACTTGAATTGACATTCTCAGACTTGTCATTACAGTTTGAAAATTAATTTTGTGATCAACTAAAATCATAATGAATTTTAAGGTTTAAGAAGTAGTATTGGAATTCGCTGTCATTTTGCTTTGGTTGTGGATATATTATTCAATAGCAATTCCCGTGATATGCATTGTTGGAAACATAATTTTCAGTTGGTATGTGTTATTTGCATTCCACTAGGGTCCATACAATGAGCACAGTTTGATGAGCCAGAAAAGTACTCCGCATGTATTTTGACACGTTGAAGCTTAAGGTCACCATGAGGTAAAGACACGAGTTGGGACCCACGTGGATTCCAACACTTGCATATGGGAAGGTTCAAACATGTATGAGCTATGATCCGTTGAATGTGTTTGTCGTACAGACAAATCTAATACTTGCACATAAATAAGTTGGATTCGTCCTGTCAATAGAGATTATTTGAATATGGTATATACTATAATATTTTAGTGAATGTGACAGTTCTCATATCGTTGGATAAATCCGATCAGTGGAGATTATTTGGATATGGTATTTATAATATTATAGTGAATGTTAGAAAGTAAAGACATATCCGCTAAAAGAAGCTAGTCTTGTCAAATTGAAATTCTTAAAAACAAAATATAGATAATAAAATAATTACTATAATTTAAATTGTGTACTTATGATGAGGCTGGATGGCTTGAAGACCAACCGCTGAGTTATGGACCGATCACCAACAACACTAGAAGAGTTGGTAGTGTTGGTGATGGGTCATATTGTGTGATGATTCAATTCAATATTTAATTTGGAATATATTAATAGAAGTCATGTTGCTTGTAATAATTGATTGAATAGAGGCCCGTTGAGAATCATATATTTATATATATATATATATATATATATATAACAGAATTGCATTAGCCTTGTGGACTTCCTAGTCAATAGCAGCCAAAGACTAGCGCATATGACAATAGTCCTTTTTGTCCGGCTTTCCCTGTTGTGCTGAATATCATTTTTAGTCTTTGACTACTTAACAAGTAGCAATCCACATATGACTCGATTTTGGTCTTTGACCACTCAACAAGTAGTAATCCATATATGACACTCAACTTCTTAATTGTCTTAATTGGAATTCTTATAACAAGCACAATAAGACAACTACAATTAAGCCCCTAAGAATACCAATCCATTGAAAGAAACACAATTTTCAGCAATCACAAAAATATCGAGATAAAAGCACAAGATATTATAATAGTGCAAGAAATTAACAGTCAATGTGATTAGCAAGAAATCAATAATGATTAAACCTTGCTTGGAAATCCCAAATCAAAAATCACCAATCTAATGCCTAGATAAATCATCATATAGAATATCGAAACAAATTTATGGGAACCTACAAATCCAAGGATCTCTCTTCTCCATTGGTCCAAATTTCCCATAAAGATCATCATTGCTGAGCACATTGCACTCTCTGGGCACCACCGTGCATATCTTCGTCCTCATCATATGCTTCTTGGGCCTGCTGATGCTTCCGCCGCATCTCCTCCTCCATGTTCACATCATGCAGAGTAGTCTCCTCACATTCATCCAACTCCATATCCGAAATCTGCATTGAAGGCTTTGGAGGCAGCACAGCCTCGAGAGCCTTGCATTGCTCTGGAGTCATGGAGTCTGGGAATTCCACGGTGAAGTGAATATACAGTTTCCCTCTCATGAAAGGTCTAGAGTACATGGGCATTCCCTCATCATTTATGGCCTTAAATTGGTCTGTAAGAGAGATAACAATCAACCATAAACAATATACATCTAAAAATAATAAGAACATCCACCAAGAGAAGACGCAAATAGAATTCAAGAATCATCACAACAAGATATCAAGAATCATCACAACAAGATATCACGATGGTACAGTTGCAGTTAGAGAACGAAGAGATCCACAATAAGAAAAATCATACTAAATACCAAACAAACAATAAGTATAAAATAAAATGTGTTCGGGGGTGGCATGGACACGTGCAAAGAAAAACTAGGGAAAGAGGAAGATCAAAGTTAACATGGATAGAGTTAGTAAGGATATGATAGTATGTGGATTGAGTGAGGCTACGGCATAAATAGAACGGAAACACAGGGTTCATGTAGCGGATCCACGTAGCTGAGAAAAGAGGCTTGATTATTGTTGTTGTTGGGGGTGGATTTCATAAAAGAAAGAAAAATTACTTATAAAAATACAAGGTAGCAGTATTTTATTCATTGATGGGACTTTGCTGGTTTTGTATTTTTAAAAGTTTGGACTTAATTGCATTTGCTGCAATTCCCTGCAGCAAATTTTAGTTCAATCACAAGAAGATAGGATGGCCCCCAATATGAACAATTTATTAATTTTCATCCAACAAAAGTAGCTCTTTAAGTTATAAATTTCAATTAGTTCTACCACACTAGAATTAATCTGTACTCACCAGGCTTGACAACTTCTCCAGGTTGGGATTTAATTAGAAGCTGCCTATTATCCAGATGGGTCAGTATAAATTGGAAGCCACATAGTGCCTCGGTGAGGGACAAGGTGTGTTCAACGAAGAGGTCGTCACCCTTCCGCTTAAACCTGGGGTGATCTTTCTGGTGTAGAACAAAGACTATGTCCCCTGTAACTGTGTCAGGCTGCAGGAAAAAAAAAAAAAAATGATTTAACAAAGCATAGCACTTCAGTCATTTATAGTTAACAAATATCCAAAGAAATCCTTTCTTACCGCCTCATCAGCCTCCCCAGGGAATGTAATTTTTTGTCCATTTTGCATTCCCTTCTCCACATGTACTTCTAGAACTTTCTTCTCCTGTAAAACCTTCTCCCCCTTGCACTGTGGGCATCGATCCTTGTCATTTATGGTTTCACCGGTACCCTTACACTCATTGCAAGGATGCTGCATCTGCTGGATCATTGATGGACCGAGATGTCTTATAGAGACTTTCATTCCAGACCCTTGACAGCCCATGCATTTCGTTGAAGCACCTGACTTGGATCCTTTACTGCAAATCATTGCATAGCCACTCAATATGGAGCAAAAATAGTACCAAAACTAATACTAACAATAATAATAATCAACAGGCATGGAACATAAATGATGACACAATCAGTAGCAAAAATAGTACTAATACTAATGCTAATACTAATAATAATCATCAGGAATGGAACATAAATGATGACACAGTCAGGTACTCACCCCTTGCACTTGGAGCAGAGTACATTGCGTGAGAGGGAAAGTTTCTTTGATGTTCCGTTGTAGATATCCTCCAGAGAAACCTTGAGGGGATGCACCACATCCTCTCCCCTCCTCTGCCTTCGGCCCCTGCTGCTTCCGCCACCTGTAAACAGATATATTTCAATACCAAACTTTCACGACTGTTTGAATTCACTCACATTGAAAACAGTTTCAACTCGAAAAGTTACAATTTCTTACCACCAAAAGGGCTACCACCAAAGAAGGATTGGAAGATGTCAAAAGGGTCATGCCCACCAGCTCCACCAGATCCCATTCCTTCCTTGAGAGCATCCTCACCATACTGATCATAAATTTCACGCTTCTCCGGGTCACTCAGAACTTCATAAGCTTGGGCTAGCTCTTTAAACTAAAAAATAAAACTTACAAAATTTAGAACATTGAGTACTCAAAAAAGTATTAGTAAACAAGTTGCAGCATATCATACTCTGTTATAAAACTAGATAAAAACTTCCAGAATCAAAGTAATTAACTTAGGCATTAGGAATAATTCAACATGCACAAAAATAATTTACACATTCAGTCTATTCCGAAAACAACAGGGAATTGTAAAAGAAAAATCATGATAAACTTGCAATTATGGATGGTTTGCTAGAATTCTTTTATTTAATATGAAGTGCCATATACTCATAAACATTAGAGAACATCCCTAAAAATCCAAGGTTTAGTTACTGCAGCCAAATCAATTCACAAATATACAAATTGGGTATGCATTTGTGCACAAAAATTAACATAAAGCCCAGTTCTTGACAAGCTGTTGTACCAACACCTGAGCTCCGCATAGACCAAAGAGGGGCAGGTGGTGATAAATCTAATCACATATATCGCGAATTTCAGGTGAAACTGAACAAATCAAGACTACCCTTTTCTATGAATACATCTGATTACATGAACAATAACAAGAACCACCAATCAACACACACTTACACATATAATCACACACACACACACATAAATATAGCTGATCTATAGAATTGAATGGATGAGGAATTACCTTCTCTGGATCGCCTCCTTTGTCCGGATGATTTTTGATCGCGGCCTTTCTATAAGCCTTCTTCAGATCATCCTGCGAAGCGTTCTTCGAAACCCCTAGGATTTCATAGTACTTCGTGTTGTCGCTTTTCTTAGGTGCTCTCCCAAACATCTTCGATTATCAATCAAAAATCTACAGATACTCACACACAATAAATCAATCAGACGTTGTGAATCAGTACCATGAAAGAAGATCGATCAATATATATATATAGAGAGAGACATAGTTTCTATATAGAGAGAGAGAACGAACCGACGGCAACCCTAGTTAGAGAGATCGAAGGATTGGGTTGCGCTTGACCTTTGTGGTGTTCAGATAGGAAACTACGAAGCACAATCCGAAAGGAAAGAGGCCTTGTGGTGTGAATCCAACTGTGCTTTATTGGAGAAGTATTGGACGGTCCGGATTAATTTATGTTGACAATTTTGATCAACGAAGACTTGCAAGATGTTCTAGAATCGTCTACAAAACTATTTTTTTTCTTATTTATTTTTTCATTGTTTAATTATGACCTCCTCCAAAATCATGTCATTACAGATTTATTTAAAACGAGATGCCCTATAATGCTCTACAAATTTATTTTCTTTCTTATTTTTTTTATAGTTAATTATGATTTTCAAAATAAATTCCTTTACTTATAAAATACTCATATTACCACACAGCATTACTATACAGTCAAACAAAACAACAATATAGTAGTATCGAAACTAAATAAATATTATTTAACATGTATAAACCCATGCTTGCAAATTCTTTTTTGATTCACATTATTTTCCTAAAAATATTTTTATAAAAATAAAAAACGATTCTAGCATGTTTTGTTTGCTTTAATTCTCTCAAATCAATTTTCAAAAACTCCGTAAATAATTTTAAACAACTGAAAATAATAATAATAATAATAATTTTTTTTTTTCTTTTTCATATCTCAAAATGAAATATCATTCTTGAACCAAATAGATTCATTGCAAACAGGTTTAAAACTTCAAAAACACAATATAGTTTTCAAAGAACTCTAAAAGTTAATCTTTTTCTGAATTTTATTTTTATATAAAATTATAAAACATTATACGCTAAATAAAATTTTAATCTTTTATTTTTTAGTCTCTAAAAAGTATGATTTGCCAACTCTATTGAACTGAATTCGAATCGACATCTGACAAGTCTAAATCAACGATATAAAAAGAAGACTCGAACTCGCTCGAAACTTAGGAGTGATTTGGGATGAAAAAACAAAGTACCAAAATCACTGGAGCCAAGTCTATATGAAAAGAATTAAGGACTCAATTATTTTTACATCATTTGGTGCTATTTGATTACTTAAATCAGTAATTATTTTAAACTATTATTTAATTAAGCACATTATAAAACGCAATATAAATATTATTGAAAATTGTAAATGCCACTTGCAATGGAGAACATGAAGAACTTCGAAAAAAAATATCAAAAAAATATATTTATTTTTTAACTATCACTTAAAAACTTTTAGTATTTAAAATTCAGCTTTTAAATTTTCAATATTTATCCATTATTTTGACGTAAAATATATTCTTCTTTCAGATAAATAATTTTATTTTTATTTTTATTTTTATTTTTCAATGTTTGGCAAATGTCAAGATTGAGCTCTAGTTTATCAAGTGAGATGTGTAAGATAACTTGCCAAAAATAAATAAGTAAATTATTTTTGTTAGGTTTTAATATTTTATGACAACCAAACACGATAAAATAAAAAAGAAATATTTTTTGGAACTAATTTTCAATTTTATCAAACAATACTCTCTCTCTCTCTCTCTCTCTAAGCTCACACACAAATTAGAAATTTTTTTCTTTTTTCTTTTCAGTCACACAATACAGGTTTGAGCCTCAAATATAAAAATTAACAAGATTTAGCCTTAAAACTTGAATTAAATACACCCCAAACAAATTTAATCAATGAGATTTTTTTTTTTTCATATTTCTTTTAGATTTCTTCACCTAAATGGCTAAATCTAATGAATCAAATTCTTTTACATGCTAGATCTACGCAAGATCTACAAGTATTCTTCAAATCTATCTGGTTTTTAAAGTTTATTTATTTATTTATTATTATTAATTATATTTTGTAATTTGCTGTTAACTTCTGAATGTTTATACATATCTATATAATTTTTAGTATTTTGTATTATTTTCAGGGTAAAAATGTCTGTGTCCAAGTGCAGGTGGTGGATTGCGTGAGCAATGTGATGGAATTTATTAACGGCTCATTTACTTGCATGTTAAAAGTCTATTATTGTCATTAATTTAATAAAAAAACTCTAGACCATTAAGTCTAGTGTCAGATTCTTGTCACTTGTATTAACTGATCGGTAAAAAAATTTAAAAAGAACATTAAAATTTATTAAAATCTCATATTTATTGAATTATGTAGTAACAAAATCTGTGACGGTGAACCACGCTAAAACATTATATATTCCCAAACACTATTTTAACTCCAAGTCATAAAACTTCCCCTTGAGAATTTTAAAATTCACCAAATCTAATAGGGATATATTTGTGATCCAATCCAACAATTCAACAAATTTTATGTTGTTGAATTCACACCTAATTTAGTAGTTTATCGAATATCACTAAAATCTTCACATTTGGTGAAGTACCTGTGTAATTACATGCATTCATCATGTAATATCACCGTTGCAGGGAAGTTTTTCTCGTGCCCAAGAGAGAATTATTATTTTTATATAAAAAACCAGATCTGGAGAGAGCAGCAGCATAAAACACTACAACTATAAGACAATGCTAAGCATAGGAAAATACCACTACAGCCAAAGAAATACAATGACACAATACACAAAGTCATGCTTATAGCAATTTCATAACTACGCAAATTCCAAGTCAAAACACCAGTGTGCCACCACCAAAACATTTAGGAAAAGAAAAGAACATGATAAGAATAAAGCAATCCCCAATTTACATTCATCATCAAATCCTTCTACTGAGTAACTGGTAGTGAAAGTCAATGGAGTTTTCCAATCATCCACGGAATGCTTAATGAAACGTGAGACAGGTTTGAATTTTCGGGATATAATGGCATGCATTTCATTACAGCATAAAAGGATGGTGGATACAACACCGATTTCATCTAACGAATTATGTCCTAGCTTTCTTCAATTTTATGTACAATGAAGAGAGAGATGCTATAAGAGAACTCGGTCAGAAGGGGAAGGTCCTCTGGAGTTCCTAGTTCCAACACTTCTTAAGTTTTATAACTTAGTTCATTCAATCACAACAAGGATAAAACCGATTGGGAACCGTAACTACAACGAAAATACCTCCTAATAACATTTACAAGTACCTATTAGCCAAAGAGAAATCCCAGCATTGTTGGCCATTTGAGCCACATATTTGCTCACAGTTCCAGCTTTCATTGAAGGTTTCCTACCTGCAGTATTCTGGAAATCGTAATGAGCCTCAATGTTAAGAGTGACGAGGTACAGCTCTTCTTAAATCTCAAAAAGGACAAGAAATAACATATCTTCAAAAAAAAACACGAATATGATGATGTTCAAGATGCTACTGCAGTCAAATAACCATTTTTGCATCTGTTTCCTATCTCACTTAAACTTGTACTGTAGTGCTTTAGGTAGCATTTTTCAAGTTTTAAATTCAACCATTTTTTATCCTCTTCTTCGTTTTTTTTTTTTTAGATGATGGATTCATGCCTATTTCATGGAACACCCCACAATTCTGTTCCCGAGAGTAAGGGAGGGAGTTGTCCTGTGCTGCCTTGAGTCCCAAAAATTTGCATCTATTATCTCCCAAAATATCAAGCAGAAAGAACAACAAACAGCGATTAAGAAGAGAGTTTGATCTGTGAAAGTATAACTAACGTTTACATTCTAGAGGTAGTTACCATCACTTGGAAGAAAAAGAAGTATAAGGAAACAAATGAGTCCAGAAAACAGACACATAATATCCCACCCACAGAGATGGTTGCTAAATGCAAGAAAATTATGTCTAAAAAGGTTTGACGTGGAAATGCAGCGCATCAGCAGAAGCAAATATAGGTAGGTTTGGGAAAGAAAATAATAATAATAAGGTAGCATTGATTGATATTTTAAGTAAAGGGGAATGCAGGTTGTTCATGTACTTTTCGACGACAGAGGGAAGGTCCAAACGGGGTTTATAATTTGCCATAGAATGTACCCTTTAGAGTCCTTTCATTCAGGAAATTCACCGGGTGGGTCTTGAAGACAGCGTCTTTGTGGGGAACACCCATTACATTGTTTTAGTATTAATCAACATTTGGAATGAAATGGATACAGATAATAGATTCTTGCATTAGGTGAAAGTTTTTAGGACAATCTCGTGTTACATTTGACTGGCTTAGACAAGGCTTAAATGGAAGTTAACGTATAGATAGATACGTACATTGTGGACACATTCGAATGCTGAAATCATGGCATCGGTGTAGCCAGTACATTCAATGCTTCTGTCCACTCCTCCACCAGTCATCTCAGCAAGCACCTAAAGAACAATCAACCGAAAAATTCAATCACTTATGTGAATTACAAAGAAAGGGCTAGGACTGCCAACAAGTTAAGAAAAGTACCTCTTGAACTGGTTTGTTATGGTCTTTTGGATTGATGAACTCTGTCACGCCAAACTTCTTTGCTGTTTACAAATAGAAGCAGATCTCATCAACTAAATTTCATTTTTTTTCGAGTAGAAAATAAATAAAAGAGGAGTATCAACTAGCATTGTCACTCTGTAGTATGTTCTGGCAATGCATATATAGTTCTATTTATAGTAAGCACATTGCTTACCTAGTTCAAATCTGTTAGCATTCAGATCAACACCAATAATTCTTGAAGCCCCAGAAATTCTGGCGCCTTCTGCAGCCTATTAACATAGATTTACCATAACATAAACAACTGCGGCCTAATAACATAGATTTACCATAACATAAACAATGCACTAAATATTTAAAAGAGAAGTAACTCACAGCAAGGCCTACAGCTCCCAAACCAAATACTGCAACAGTTGAGCCCTTTTTTGGTTTGGCAACATTCAAAGTGGCACCAAGGCCTGTAAAACAAACACCCGAAAATTTGTTTAATACATTAGTTAAAAGCTTTAGCGTAAACCTTATGAAAATTGGGACTAGAATTAGATGACGAGTGACGCCCGTCCTGTACCTGTGGAGATTCCACAGCTGAGAATGCAAACTTCGTCGAGAGGGGCAAGGGGGTTTATCTTGGCAACACAACCAACATGGATCACAGTGTACTCGCTAAAGGTGGATGTTCCGACAAAATGGTAAATAGGCTTGCCATTGATCGAGAACCTCGATTTTCCATAATGAATAATCACTCCCCTGTCGGTGTTAATCCTGAGGAGATCACACATGTTGCTCTCTTCTGATTTGCAATGAGCACAATCTTTGCACTTACTGGTGAAGACAGGAAGCACATGGTCACCTGGTGCAAGATCGGTCACGCCCTCTCCCACACTCTCCACAATCCTATATACCCACCAAAATTAAATAAAATGACATCAAAAAATAGAGGTTTTGGATTCAACATAATCATAAAACTCACATTATATTGTAAGAATCACAAAGGAACATTCAACAAAAATTAAATAAAAGGATAAAATAGTGATTTTGGATTCAATATAATCAGAAAACTCTTTATATTGTAAGCATAACAAATGAACAAGCAAACACTATTATATTGAAGTAGAGTAAGACCATTTCTGGACTACAATTAACATACCCTCCTGCCTCATGCCCGAGAATCCGAGGAAACACGGAGTTCTGTCCCTGCAATAATCGAAAAATTCATGGAAATTAATGTGCAGTACAAGCATAATGGATATATATAGTCATGAGTCTTAACTAAGCTAACAATGGTTGAAATAGAAAATGAAGGTTAATTTTACCTTGGCTTCCCAGAAGTAGACATCAGTGTGGCAGAGAGAGGTACAGAGGATCTTCAGACGGACCTCCATTTTCTGTGGAGGAGCCACCTCCACTTCTTCAATCACTAATGGCTTCCCTGCTTCCCATGCCACAGCAGCTGCAACATGAAACATAAAACACCCATCATTTCACAAATTCCAGATGATAAAAGTCATGAATCAAAATTCTCTCCCGTCACGATTTTTTTCCGTGTTCCCAGCTGTTGGTGCATTTCACCACTATCAATGGTGAATTTAGCTTATGGGTTAAATTTTACCATTATAATAACGAAATTCACCATTGATTGTGGTAAAATTCACCAACTGCAGGGAACTAAAATCGTGTAGAGGATTGGGGTCCTAAAATCATAAGCAGTAATCAGTCAATCTGAATGGACAACAGGTCCAATGAAAGTACAATTCAATATATACATAGGGAGTATATGAATTAAAAACATCACCTTTTGTCCATCTAGAGAAATATCAAAAATTAAATATGGAGTATTAACATCCCAAGAACCAGCTTTTAAAAAAAAAAAAAAACAAACAAACCACCATAATCAAACCCTCCCCTAAAATATAATTAATTGAAAATGATGGAGTAGAGTGATTAAAAAAACAAATTTAATTCAAACAATAATATAAAATCTGACACACACACATTCATAAGAAGGGTACACAATGAAATAGGAAGAAGAAAGAAGTAAGCTTTTTGTCCCTAATGTCACTATTACACAATTTTATATATACCCAAAGTTCATCAAATATACTAAAATCCCAAATTTACATAGCAAGAAAGAAGAAACCAACACTCAAAATGATTGACTGAACCAGGAAACAATTCTGCAAAGAACTACTATAGTACCAAACCCTTGAATAAAAAAAAATAAAAAATGTTTGAACCCAAGAAAGAAATCACAAGGGAGAGCTGAAATTAAGGTGGAATAGAGAAATATATAGAACATCACACCTCTGCAACATATGACTTGACCAGCTGTATTCGACATTTCTTCTTTTTCTTCTTCACTCGCAACCCAAAAAACATAAAAAACAGAGAAAATATGATATAAATGAGAGTATATTATATATAAAGCTTTTCAATCTCTGAAGTCGGTGGTTTGAGATGAGACTATTGTATTGGATGGGTATATATATACTATGAATGGGAAAAGAAACAATATGAGAAAAGTTTACAATTTTAGTGAATCAATTACTTTAATCAGTTAATGGGCAGTCTGAATAAGCAGAGTTGTTTTTGTTGGTATTATAATAAAGTGTAATGCAAATTCAGTAGGCTATGACAAAACCATCCCTGGTTTTCATTCTAGGGGCTTTTGGACACTGGTTTTACCATCCGTTGTTTTGTCGTTCTTGACCTTCATTATGAGGGATGTAAAAACATTAATGAAAAGCCAATATGATCGAGGTACCAAGAATATAATATTCACAGACAATGATGAGTTGTTATTTCTTGTTTTCGATGAGGTGTTGCTTCTACTTTTCAAACAGAGTCCTACGGCTTCTTGCTAATATTTTGTCAGTAATTTTATATATTTATTTTTAGGATAACCTCCACTTACTTCCCCCAATTTGCACTTGATCACCTTAACATTTGAAATTAGATCAGCATGACCAATAAAATGGAGTCAATGGCCAAGATAAGATGATGTCTCCTCTACCTTTTAAAGTAGATGGTAATGATTCAAGTCTTTAGAGGAGTAAAATGATGCGTGTCAAGCAATGTTCAAGGGGAATGCGGGTAATACCATAGTCAAAAAGATGACTATAATTGAAGACACATGATGCAGGCCTAATTCTACAGTTATGTTGTACACCTTGAACATTATTATAAAGCATTTAAATATAACAAAACATGGTTAAATAAGAAGACATCAGTTCTTTTTTCTGAGTTTACAAAAAATATATATATATTTAAAGAAGTGATCGACCTCTTTTGAGTCAGGTCAAGAGTTTCGATTATGAGAATATGACCAGATATCACACCTTGCCTACAGCCATTCAGGCCCAAACTTTTAACTTCAAAGAAAGGACTGATGCATGCATCAGCTGCAACTTATGTCCGTGGAACAATCGATGGTTGGGGGCCTGAGGGTACCTTGCCCAAAATTAAAGGGCCCAAAGTATTTCAATTTGGTTATTTCAAATTGGCTGATGTCTGTGTAGCCTACTTCATATCTGCTTGTGTGGAAATCAAAGTATTCATTTCTCCAACGAAAAAGCAGTAAATAACAATTCATAAGCAACATAAGTAAGAAGCATATGATATAATTATGCATAAGGAATGAGTTGATATCACCCATTGCTTTTTTCACCACCTAGCAACAAAGCTAAATGAGTTGTAAAAAATTGTGGACTGTATAAAGGCGGAGAGCTTACATGATTTTATGAAGATCTGTCTAAGATAACTACTGGCAGCTCCATCTTCAAGCATCAAAAGGAGCACAATGCAGACTGTGCTTGCCATAGGGATATCAGGGTAACTTCAACATAACCACGGATCAAGGGTCAGGAGGCCATTAACCGATGTTACTTCAAATTGTTGACTGCGTGATAAGTTGTCTGCCAAGCATTCAGACCTAGAGGTATTTAAATCAGGTTCTTCTAACTCTAGGTATGCAAGACAAAGTCCCAATATAAAGAAAAAGACAAAAGTAGCACTTTTACCATGCCTGAGAACTGAGAAAATCTGTAGGAAGCACTGCATAAAGCTCACGAAGGAAGTTTTCCTGCAGAATCAGGTGCCAATTACCAACACCACACTTAAATGCTTTATCACATGAGACATTTTAAAATAAGGTAATAATATATATATATAATCATTTTTCTTGCTTCAAATACCATTATAAAATTAAATCGACCACAAAGTAAGTTTACATCCATTGAAATGAGCTTGACCTTCTGAAAAGAAACCTCCTGATTTGTATTTCTCTGTTCTCTAAATACTAAACATGAACATGATTAACTCCTCACAATATCCAAAAATACAAAAATTATATAGTCTTTTATGCTATAGTTGCACTAGTATTTCAAATTTCCTCCTCTCCAATCTTTTCTAATTCAGAAATACATTTCAAATTGTGCAGACTTAATTTGAGGAAGTTCCACCACCACCAACAGAAACCAAGCTTGGGAAGTTTGTCTGTTCAATAATAAACCCTTGTTCAGAGCCTACCACTGGAAAAAAAAATGCCTACAGTGTCCATCACATGTCAATTCTATCTCAGCAAATTCCATCCTGTATCCAACACATAACCAAGCTATATATTTTTAGTTATCCTGCTAGTCCAGTATAAACAACTTTCATTTTCATTCAGATATTGTCAATTCTATAAGAGTGTTTCTACTATGATTCCGACATTGATTCAAACAAAGGGCTTGAGTTGGTTTTCCAAACATGTCAGTTTTAAAAGACAAATCATGATAGCTTTAGTCAATCATCAAGAAATAGACAATTAATGGACAAGGGAAAACAATATAGTTCATCATTGGATATTCAAATATTGGACAAATATAGGTGGAAGACATGCTAGATGCATTCATAACTAAATATCTATAGAACAATAATTCTTCTTCTCTTTCACCAACTAAAAGGAAAAACTACAAGTAATATATACAATTTACCGGGGTAAAAAATACAAGTAAGATATACAAAATGAAATATAAATTGAGAATACATATGTAAACTATTTGAGTCAAAACATTTAAGTGCATAGATAGCTTCTTTGAGGCTAAAGAGTTGTTCAGTACCTTCAAATAAACAACTTCCAAGTGTCTCACTGCATGGGCCACGACACTTTTCTATTTCTTCAGGCCTGCAGCTACATCAAAGGCCATTGTTCACTGCAATGAAAGATGTTCTCTAAGTATTCCCAAATGAAAAAAAACAACGTGAATCCGTAGAATATTTTATCACACTCTACCTGAAAATATGTTTGATGGCACTAATATGCAGATTTGGGTTCATCTACCCTGTGAGAATCACTACAATCCTTAATGCCGAAACCGCACTTTCTTGGCCTTTAAAATACCATCGTGCAATACTGTCATGGTACATGTATCCGGCTGTATACCCTTAGAAGACATCTCATCAACAAGGGTTACAGCTATATCCACGTCTCCTTGGCTGCAATAACCGCAAATGAGAGCTGTGTACGTCACTGTATCAGGTTCTAGACCTCTATCAATCATTTCGTCAAAGAGGCCAATAGCATCCTGAAGGTTATCTGATTTACAGAAACTGTCAATCAAAACTGTGTAACAAATAACATCAGATTTTAGTTCCGCATCCTTCATTTCATTCCGAAAAGTCAAAATGTCCTTTATTACTTCCTTTTTCCCTTCTGCATTTGGACGGGATCTAGCCCTTTTCAAATTTACTTTAAAATGGCCATCAAGCAAAACCGTGTAAGTGATAACATCAGGTTTAATACCCCTCTCCCTCATATCATTGAAAAGATCACGGGCTTCCCGCAAACAATTCTCTCTGCAATAACCATTTATCATCATTGTGTAGGTAATGACATCAGGAGTCAACCCTCTCCCAACCATAGTATCAAAGACCCGCTGAGCCTTTATCATATCTCTGGCCCGACAAAGAGAAGATATAAGCTTACTGTACATTATATTACAAGGGGCATCATCTGAAGACAACACTGCCTCAAATAGCAAAAGGGCTTTGTCATTTTCACCTTCCATACATAAATTTGTCAGAAGTTTTAAACAAGAACTCTTTTTCATTATGATTCCTTGCCTAGAAAGCCTCTTAAAAATTTCATAGGCCTCTCTTGTGTAGTCTGCTTCACAATATCCATTAACCATTGCAGCATAATTGTCAAAACATTTTTCTTCCAAACTATTGAAAAACATCTCAGCTTCCTTCACCTTGCCCCCTTTGCATAAGCCTTCAATGATGATGTTGTGTGTAACAGTGCTGGGTTTCAAGCCTTCTGCCTCCATATTTTTAAGAAGGTAAAGTGCTTCTCGTGCAAGGCCATTTCTAGCAAACCCACCAGCAAGAACATTGTAAGAAACAATATCAGGTTTTAAACCCATTTCTTTCATTTCCTCAAATAAATCCAACGCATCAGCAAGTTTTCCATGAAGACAGTATCCATTCATCAAAGTTGTGTAATGCACAATATCTGGAACCATGTTCCTACCCTTCATCTCAGCAAGCATCCTCAATGCTTCTTCCATTCTCCCCAATTTGCAGAAAGCATCGACCACAATATTGTAACAGACTTCATCAAGGAAAATCCCCAAGTCCTTAAAGTTATTGAATTGGTCTACTGCCTCTGCAGCCAAACCCATTTGACACAAACATTGAAGGATTGGGCTAATGATCACGTAGTTGGTTTTGATACCCTTTGACTCCATTTCATTATGGATAGCCAGAGCTTTAATTATATTCCCGATCTTACAGTATCCTCGAACTAATTCAGTGTAACAGTATGCATCTGGGACCAGCCCCTGTTTTTCCATATCAAATAAGACACTCTCCGCTTTTTCCAATTTCAACTCCTTGACAAACCCACGAATCACAGCAGTATAAGCATATACATCGATTGGCACATTTACCTCACTCCATGCTTGGAGCACTTGATACCCCAAGTCAGACCTCCGATGTGTACAAAGCCCTTCAATATAAGCCGCATAAGTAAAGATATTGGGGGTTACTCCAGCTTCCTCCATCTCCTGAAAGATGTCAACAGCTTCTTCTAGATCGCCTTTCCTACAAAGTGCCTTAATCACAATACCATAGGTGTAGACATTAGGACTCAAACCCAGCCTCTTCATTTGTTGATAAATGGCCACAGACATATCCACTTTACCACTCACAATCAACCTATTCATAAGAAAATTACATGTCATTATATGCGGTATGAATCCACGCCTTCTTGTTCTAAACAAAGTATCAATGGCCTCATCAAACATGCCAAGACTAACATAAGCCTTAACCAATGCATCGAATGCTCGAACCAACTTATTGGGCCCCTCGGCCTTAAGCCCCTCCACAACTGCTTCAAACAAAGCCAAAACGTTGAAACCCAAATCCTCTTCTTCCGAACCAATAACCTCCAACCAAATCGAATCCAACCTCATATCCAAACCCCAATAACATAGTATCCTAATAATCATCATGTAAGTTCCAACGGTATGCCGAAACCCATTTTCCTTCAATTCACGAAAAAATGAAAATGCAAGACTAGGTTCTCTTCTTAAATTGTTCAGAATATCAATAACCCTAGATGAATCTAATTCCGCTATGTGATAACCTAAAGAACTATGGTTTTGGGTGCATACAGTTTGTTCATCAGAAACTGAGTCTGACAAGTAAGGACTCAACTGGGCAAGCGCTGAATCTGATTTAAATCGAATAAATTGAGAAAATTTGATCAATTTGCTAGAACATACCAACCTGGTAGTAGAAACCCACATGGAAAATCCAGGGCCGGCCATGAGATTCCAAATATTTTGAGAGGCCATAAGAACTTTCAAATGTAAGGTCCTTGAGTTTCACACACGCAAAAAAGAATTATAAGAGTGCGAAATTTTAACACGATGTTTTCAAATTCTATAGCTAATATAATTGTGCCCTTGTGCATTGTGCATAAGACAACTAACTAATAATTATAAATTTATCACCACCAACAAATAATTGTGCACCTATACAGTGTGCATAAGACAACTAACTAATAAGTATAAATCTATCACCACCAATAAATAATTGTGCGTCTGTGCGGTGTGCTTAAGACAACTAATTAATAATAACTAAAATTTTTTACCACCACCAACAAATAATTGTGCGCATGTGCAGTGTGCATAAGACAGCTAACTAATGACAATAAATTTATCAATTAAAGAGTGCGAAATTTTCACAGGCACAAAATAAAAATGAAGAGAACAGAAAACTGCAGCTTCTTTTACATTCATTGTTTATATAGCTACTAAAATTTGATGATTACAGATGACAAACATATGTGAAGATGAGGTGACTATATATATATATATATAAGAGGCTGAACTTGTACTACTGAAGAAGTAGTGGGACTTTTAGGTTATATGTGGCATCCACTATCATATATAGTTTTGTCTTTCACTCTTTATATTAACTACACTACAGTTTGTGTGTGTTTTTTTTGGGAGCCAAATACCCACAGTGATTGATTGATCATTGCTACAGAAGACCTGTGCAAATTAATAGAATAAAACCATTAACTTTTGTTTTGTTAAAGCCTGCTCTTGATTTCCATGTGTTCGTACATTCTGATGGCAATTGCTTTGACAGTATTATTAACTGAAATTCTAGCTGAGCCAACTTCAAATAACATCAATAATGGTGGTATGTGTCTTCAAAATAAAACCCTTAATTTGGCACTTTTAAGTATGAGCATAATTTAGAGATCGAAAAAGTTAATTATTACCTCAACCCACTAGAAGGGATCCTTAATTTTCGTGGGATTGAATGTGAAAATGCAAAAAATTATGAGGAAAAGGGGTATGGTTGCTGCTGTTGTGAGATTGGAGTGGAATTAGGGAGAGGAAAAAAAAAAAAGTACCTACCATAGATTATGTACTCGATCGCCATGAAAGACACATGTAGAAAGGCACACATTTATTAAAATACTAAGAAAACCATAATATATTCATTCAGCTCTTGAAAGCCATCACACACAGTGACACACACAAAACCCTAGCTACTTTTCACTATTGGAACAAAGGTAAAGGCCCGAATCAAACGAACCAAAGTTAGAACAAATCAAATGATGAGATTAACGAAAGAAACAAACATATATAAAAGATCGATTCATGCAAAAGGAGAGAAGAGAGAGAGAGAGAGAGGATGAACATACCTTGTCACCTTAGGCGATGGCGGAGCTGCGCCTTGCGGAGTGTCGAGGTAGATTGTGTCGTCTGAAACTTGCCCTAACTTTTTTTTATTTTTTATTTTTTCCATCCCCTATGGGCCTCTCTAAAATCTAAGACCCAAGGCGACCGCCTTGTTCGACTTAGGCCAGGGCCGGGCCATGAGAAAATCGGTATACGTCGACAAAATATTCCGTCTTCAGATTAATTTACAGCTTCAAAGCATTTTTAGAGAAAGAGTATCTAATAAGAGCAACAACTTCCATGGATGCTTTGTTTGCTTTCTGGAGAGAGAAACTGAACAGGGTTGCTGGAAATATTTGAGAGAGTGAGAGAACTAACTCTGAATGGCAGCGGAAGTTGAACCTTGTGACAGTTCGCGGTTGACACATCCTTGGCCAAAACCCTATTTTCCAGATATCCCTAAACCCATAAAACCACGAACTCGAGCAACAGGTTATTTTCTTTGAGGGTAAAGTACACCAATACTCCTAAATTTGGCTTAAGTACATGTAGATCCTTTTAAGTTTGATAAAATTCACAAAGATACATTGATAATAGGAATTAATTTTATTATTTTTTAATTTAAAATTGACTTAAATATCCTTAAATTAAATAAATTTAAATAAATTATTGAGTAAAACCCATACGAGAAACTCAAAATCCTTAACGCACTTTTTCTTTTTTCCCTCTTTCAGACCCTAACCCAAAGAACTAATATATATATATATATTGTTCGTATGTACACACGCGCACACATATATCATCAGCATCACAATTCACGTACACGTATATCACCAAGCAAGGCCTATTTCCCTGAAATTAACATGATGGAGGTGCTCTACGCTTTGATGCAGAATTCCTTTATACTGAACTATGGATTGACAGGGCCAATTTTGTTGTATTTCATCCATATGTCGATGTAAAGTTGTTTTTTTTCTGTTAAACATTCATGTTCTTGCTTAATTTTTTTCAGTTGATTTCTTGTGCAGTTGCAAAACAAATCAGAGATGAAATAACTGCCGAGATATCCAGGATGAAAGATGTAATAGGTGTTGTTCCAGGATTAGCAGTTATACTAGTTGGGGATAGGAAGGATTCTGTAACATATGTACGCACAAGAAAAAAACCTTGTCAATATGTAGGGATTAATTCATATGAAGTGCATTTGCCTGAGGACTCCACAGAGCAAGAAGTGCTCAAATATATCTGACTTCAATGATGATACCTCAGTTCATGGCATCCTTGTTCAGCTACCTCTGTCTTCTGTATGTTAATTTCAACAAAATAGGCCTTGCTTGATGATATGGGTGTGTGCGTGATTTGTCAATTTTATATTAAAGGGTAATAAAGTTAATTCATCATTGTCAGGGTGTCTTTGTCCATTTTATCAAATTTGAGGGGGTATAATTGTCCAAAAATAAGATAACTTTCATCTGCCTATACTTATTCCAAACCTCAGGAGTGTTGGTGTACTTTACCCTTTTTTTTAAAATGTGAAAAAAATAATAATAATAAAAAATAAATAAATAAAAACTCAAAGCTACTTTTTTATTTCTTTATGTTTAAATGAAAAAACTAAAATTAAAAATTAGGTGATTACAATTCCATAATTAATTACTAAATAGTAATACGCCCCTTTGTCACTCACTGAAAATTTTCCAATGGTGGCCCTTATGGTAATTAGACTCACCTTATTTAAAATGAAGCACAATAAAATAGATTTCTCTTGTTCAAAAATTACACTAAACTATCTATCTCCACCTTCCATTAATGATTAAAAATTCGAATAATATTATTTGTACATGTCAGCAAAATTAAAATTTCAGAATGAAAAGTCTGATGGCTGAATTCAATTCCCCCGTTATACAAAAATAAATTTGATTTTAAATGATATATATTTGATTTGCGAATTATTGCATATATTCAAGATTTATCTATTAGTTGAAAGGATTTTTTGTCTTTAAACAAATAATAATAATAATAATAATAATTACAAAACTCTAAATTTTCTTTTTTCTTTTATTTATTTTTTTTCAATTTCCAACTATAATATTATAAGGACAGAAAAATAAAATCGTACTCTTCATAATAATGCTGTCCAACCAAAATGTTAGACAAATAAGTTGTGCAATTCTTGAAATAAGAGGAAAGGCTCATGTTATAATATCTTAGACAAAGTGGGAGTAATTTACCTCTGAAAAAAAAAATCAATGCCTTAACAAACATACAAGTCTATGGGGGGGTCTATAGATTTAACATACAAGTCTATAGATTTTTGAGAGAGAAAAAAAAAGGGGGGGGGGGGGGGGGGGGGGGGGGGTCTATAGATTTTCATTTCCTGAAAGTCCATTTAGCTTGGGGCCCAATAAGCATAAACGTGGGCCTCCTCAACAAGGTCAATATAGCCCGAGTCTATAAAACAATACACATAGATTGAAGCCCATTACTCAGGCCCGTACGAAAGCAAGCAAAAGAGCCTGACCCATTAAGGAGACATTTATTAATTTTTTGGTAGGCTAAGAAGAGACATGCCCACTCTTACATTTGATCCCGAATTATTCTGTGCCAACCCAATAACTTAAATCACTTACGCAATAATTTCACACGTTACTTATGCTACAACCATATTAAATTGCTTACACAACAATTTTACTTTGTTGATTGTAAGCAATGTATGATGTATTGTGTTGCTTAAGCAGTGCATAATGCAAACACATGATCTTAATACAAGAAGTGATCCTCATTCCTTGCATACACTATAATGATTCGCGTGGGACTCGAGTTGTTCACCTCTGTCTTTAAAACAAAAAACAAAAAAAATTACTGTTACCATTGGTGGAATGGCCTTAAGGAAGGTCTGTGCAATTATGACAAACTCCCCTATAATTAAAATACTGAATCAAAATTCATCAAAAGACACTTTATCAATTTTTTATTTTCTTATCATTTGATGAGATTTTGACAATATGGGGACGATTAACCAGAAAAGATATTTTAAACTTCTCTCTCCACAAACTGAATCAATCCCTTTCTTCTCCCTTTATCAATACTTTGTAAATGAGGTTCATCCACTAGTATTTCATTATTAAATATCAAAGCTCAACAGAAATTATAAAATGGTCTAGAGTCATGTAATTCCATCCAATCATAAATTATTTCGTAATTAAAAAATTAAATAAATGACAACTTATAATTGACCATAACCAAATGATCCCAAATCATCTGATTATACAATTCATAAATTGTTATGAAAGCCACAAGATATGAATGGACAAAGTAATAGTCAAAAGGGTTTGAGATATCTCATTTAAATTATGAGTAGAGAAGTCCCACAAGCTAGGTATAATGTCATGCAATCATGATGACATCCAATTTAAATTTTATTTGAAAAACCATGAGATTTGGGCACTTGTTATCAAAGTAGTTGGGCAAACTATATCCTTAACATTAAATAATTTAGTCACAAGAGATCATCCACTTTCATGATCCCAAACAATTTATAGTATTATTAGGTGACACTCATCTTTTGATGCTAATAGTATCATAATTTATTGTCCACATGTCTTGTTCTAGTGTTTGACAACTATTGTTTTCTTTCATAAAAACTAATATAGACATACAAGCCATGCACCTATCTTGCAAATGTGTTTAAGCTCATACATTAAATAGTTTTGCAATAATATTTTTCAATTATTTTAACTGATTTTCATAAATTAAAATAAAATTTGATAATAAACTTACACACATTTTTATGCAAACTTGAACATTCAGTCCAATCTTCTATTTTAAAAATAAAAATTATACTAAAATTTGACTTTAAAAGGTAGATTTTAAATAAGGGTGTCAAATTTGACATGACACGTTAACACAACACGAAATAAATGGGTTTGAGTTTGACTTAATCGTGTTCGTGTGTTGTAATCTTGTCTACCCGAATAGACACGGTGATTAAACATATCGTGTTTGTTTAGACTTGTCAACCTGTTTAACTAAACGTGTTAGATAAACGTGTCGTGTTCGTGTTAAAAAATACCTGTTTAGCTAAACGTATTGTGTTCGTATAATAAAATAACTTAAATGTGTCTTAACATATCGTGTCAAGTCTTAACTCATTTATTAAATAAATTATACGTGTATAATAATCGTATCGTGTTCGTATCAATTCATATAACAAAATACTCATGTTCTGACAAGACCTGTTTACCCGAATTATTAGCCAACAAGGAGTCGCATGAATAAATACACACGAATTTAGATAGTGGATTGCGGGGTTTGGTTTGTCGGTGTCGGGCTTTGGTTTAGGAATGTGAGACCAAAACAAGGAGTCGCATGAATAAATAACATGTAACACGAATTTAGATAGTGGATTGCGGGGTTTGGTTTGTTGGTGTCGGGCTTTGGTTGAGGAGTCAACTACTGCCCATACCATTGCATAATTCGCGACTTCCCAACACAAACACTAGTCACTTTGTTTGGACCACTCACTTTGTGTCCATTGTCTTTGTTAGGATATTGTTTTTATTCAAGTGATGGATATCTACAAGCGTTGCTTTAAAGTTGGAATTGACTTCCGTGGCTAAGCAAATGTAGGGTTCAAATGAACCATTCGGTTTGGACTTTGCTCGTCTAGGGTTTGATTCGGACTCATTTATTAAATAAATGAGTTGTTACGGTTCCGAAATAGATTTCTACTTTGTCATTTTACAAAGTAACTGTTCTAATATTTGAATTCACATTTAATAGTTGAACAACATTTTCATATTCAAAAAAATAGAATAATTCAAAAGGGTCCAACAAAAAAAATAAAATAAAAATTTTACATGGATAATGTTTTAATTTCTCTAGAAAATCAAAATCAGAAAAAATTTACACAATGGCTACCCGTTAACTAAGTCGTCCTAAATTTGATGACAATAAATGCAAATACATATGTTTTCAACACTTTCCATTTAATTTGGTTAATTTAGTTTAAAATTTTTCCAATTGACTTTGAATCTCCTTAGGTTTGATTTTAAAATAATAAAAAAATTTATGCCATCTCTATACGTGTGAGTAATTATAGTTGTCCTTCTTATAACAACGTGCTATAATAGAATGAGATTTTTACTCATTGACTGAAAATCTCTTAATTATAACCAAAATGTTTTTGAGTGGAACAAGAATTTTCTAAATTGAATTTGTTTACCTTCTACTTATAGTAAGTTTAATTTCATGACACATTACAAATCATCTGAAATTTAACATACGATAATGTGAGCAATAGATAACGCAAATGATCTTAATCCTTGTGGTGTAACCGATGCAAAAATAAAAAAAATTTAAAAAAATAAAAATAAACAAATATTTTAAAAAGGAGTTATCTTAGTGACTAGAAATCTGTGAATTAGATTTGTAAGAACGTTAATTCATAGCTCATTTATTGAGTCATCTGGCGTTAAAGAAAAAATGGTGCTAAATTATTTTCTTATGATGTTTGCGAAATGATTCTCAAAGCAGCATTGATGGATCGTAATCATGTGTAATTTTTCTCATCAATAAAATTTTCTTTCTTGCCTTAAAAAAAAAAAACATTCTCAATTGTGGAAACTCAATCCAACCCTATTCATGTTTGAAAACTCCTTTACTTTTTAACCCCACCGTTACAAATTTATCCACATGTTAGAACTTAGGATGAATTTTGGCTAATTCAATCCGAATTGGATAAGAATTACTTGTGATAAAATTATTAGTGATTCGATAGTTAATCTAACATATTATTTATAATTAAATTTATATTCGATTTTATAATTTATTGGATGTTCAATGCTACCAAGACCGATTTGGCTTGGGCTCCGAGCCACTCCTTAGTTCATTCTAAAATCTAAAATTTAGATTTATGATCTAAAACGCCTCCACATTAAAATATGAGTAAATGCATTAGAACCGATCTTTTATTTCAATTTGCTCATTATTTTAATTTTTTCACTTTTTGTTTTTTTTAAACCACATAATAATAAAAATAAAAATAAAGTACCAGTAACAGCCCCCGCCATCTCTACCCCCATTCCCCACCACACCATGATAATGCCTCCACCTCTTGTTATTCATTCCCATCCTTCTTCTGCTTGACCTTCATCACACCCCTTTTCTTCAGCCTCACTCCTCTCTCTCTCTCTCTAGTACCACTTTCATCAACCCTTTTCTACTCCTCATCAATTAAACCCTATTTTCCCTCTTTTTGTTATCCACGATTGCTCTTTTCTCCTTTTTCTTCAAGAACTCTCCACAAAGATACAAACACCATTAACATTTTCTCAAGAAAATCAAACACAAACCCCAATAATTTTCTTCCGCAATTTGTACATACACACAGTACACACACATATATCCCAGTCACTTATCCCCGTTTGTTTGATTTTCATTTTGTGTTTGATCATGATCTCCACACCCTTTGTTTTATCATTCACTATCTTCCTCTCTTTTCCCCTTATTTTCCTCTTCGCTCATCGTTTCCTCCCTCCCAAACACCTCCAAATCTCTCTTCCCGACGAGCTCGATGACCTCGCGCTCTTCCGACGAGCCACGCTCGCTTCCGTCCACCCTCCCGGTTCGATTTCCAGACTGGGTATCACAAACCCTAACCCTAAAATCGCCTTCCTCTTCCTCACGAACACCGATCTCCACTTCGCTCCCTTGTGGGAACGATTCTTCCAAGGAAATGAAAATCTATATAACATATACGTACACGCCGATCCGTCGGCGAAACTGACCCGTCCCGGCGGTGTATTCGCCGGCCGCTTCATCCCCGCCAAGAAAACAGGGCGCGGTTCTCCGACGCTCATCTCCGCCGCGCGCCGCCTCCTCGCCACCGCACTCCTCGACGACTCGTCGAACTTCTACTTTGCCCTAATCTCCCAAAACTGCATTCCCCTCCATTCGTTCCGATACATCCACAACTCTCTGTTCTCACCATCACAGTCCACTGAGTCAAATCGCAAGTTGACTCGGTTCCAGCACCAGAGCTTCATCGAGATACTCTCCGACGAGCCGCAATTGTGGGACCGGTACACGGCGAGAGGAGAGAACGTGATGTCGCCGGAAGTCCCGTTCGAGCGATTCCGAGTAGGCTCGCAGTTTTTCATACTGACTCGGTCTCACTCGTTGATGGTGATCAGAGACCGAAAGCTTTGGAGGAAGTTCAGATTGCCTTGTTTGAATCTGGACTCGTGTTACCCAGAAGAACACTATTTCCCAACCCTTTTGTCAATGGAGGATCCGAATGGGTGTAGTCAATACACTCTCACTCGGGTCAACTGGACCAATAGTACGGGAGGGCATCCGCACACGTATCGTCCCCAGGAGGTGTCATTGGAGGTAGTTAACGAGCTCCGTTCATCGAATTCGACGTATTCGTACTTATTTGCTCGGAAGTTCTCATCGGATTGCTTGAAACCGTTGATGGACATAGCCGACAATGTCATTTTCCGGGATTGAAGTGGATCCGGGTAAGCCACATTTACTCTCCATTAACCACTTCTAATTCTCGAATTCACTTTTTGGGTCGGATCGGCCGAGTTGACTCTGATAGAGTTCAGTGTTGAATGTCCGAGTGAACTCGCTACAGTTACTTAATTATGCAGTGTTCACGAAAAACTATGCATCAGATTGCCTTTCTTTAAAGGTCTCATCTAAACACAAACGTGTCCAACTGTGATTGGTTTAGAAATCAATAATTGTCGGCTCCACATGTTTATCAACTTTGTCACAGGTCACAACTTAGGCCGATTGAACCTAAGAATTAACTGTACTAGAAAAAAACATATTAAATCGGCCCATTTATATTACTTGAAATTATGCATTTCTAAAACTTGCATTTTGAATTTGTTTATTATTATTTTTTAAGATATGTTTATTTATTTTGTACGACAATTATTTATTTATTTTTTTGGTTCATCATTACATTTGTGTATATGTGAAACCGCGATAATTGGTGACCAATTTATACATATATTTAATAGGCAGATGACTAACCTACAAAAGTGTTTGTTTGGCAATTAATATGTATGTATACCCGATTTTGGGTTTTGGGAGGGCTGTAGATGTGTGGGTCCTACCACACTAATTTCAAGTAAATCCAGCTGCAGCACATTGCACGTGCTAGAGGTGTTTCACATTGGATTCATCGCGTATGCAGTACCTTTTGAATTAAAGGGTAAATGCATGCCCCATGTAATTTTGCAGATCATTACTCTTCTTGTGTTTAACACTTTAACTGTATAGATGTATAGATTTAAGTACTCATTGTATTGGGTAATGGGTAAGTGTACATGTTTTGACTGGTCATATGGTCACGTGGGCTCTGACCGTCAGATTACAACTATTGACTTTATTCTTTGATCTAGATCTGATCTGACTCAAAAAAATTTGTCATTGTCGTACTCACGTTATAGCTTTTAATTATTATTATTATTCTTTTTTCTGTTTCAGGATGATGAAATTGAATGGAATCTTGTGTTTTTTTCTAATTGCCATGCGAACGGAGGAAAATGTAATGTTGGATTTGGATAAGGCCCAAGCCCAGACCCAACATGGTGTGATCAGCGTCCAAGTAGGTGCTCTGTGTGTATAGAGAAGAGTGTCAACATGGTTGATTATGTACTTTTTTTTTTTTTTTTTACGGTTTGGAGGAATGTGTGTTGGATGGATGGTGTGGGCTTAGTGTGGAGTAAGAAAAAAGCAAAGTAGCAAAGGCTCTTTGATTTTTTTTTCTGATAAAAAAAAAAATGTAAAAGAATCTCCCATTTGCTCCTTCTTTCAATCCTTCCCTTTTTGTACTTATCAACCTCTTTCTTTTCTACGTTCACTTTTGTCTTTAAGGTTAATTTATCTACTTTCGGCAAAGGGAATAAGTGAACCTTAAGCAAGCACACCTTTTTTTATTATTATTTTTTTTATTCCGTCTTTTTTATTTCTCTAGGTAACAAGTGGATGTGATTGATTCATGAAAAATGATGTACAAATGGCCGATTTCTTGGAGGGGTGAAATTTGGGAATTTGCAATTTATACTTTATAAATTTTAGTTGGTCATAAAATAATAATTTTTTTTATGTATAATATGATGTTTAAATAGAAAACCATATATGTTATATTACTCGTAATGTTGTACATATTCTAACCGTTTTAATTTTTAAGAAAAATGATACATGAACCAAGTTCACCCTTTCAACAATCAAACCCTAAATTTTCTCTTCAAAGTTTTCACATTCTGCTTTTCTTTTTATTTTCTTTTTCTTACACTCCTATATGTGAACGCATTTATAGCCCAAGTGATAGGTTGCTCAGTTCCGATGTCTTTGAGAGCCCCACTTCGATCCTTCCACCCCCTATGGTGTAAAGAATCCTAACTTAGGGTCCGCTTTATTTATATAGGTAGCTCTCTTGAGCTGTTCTTTATAATATTTTAAGGAGAATAATACTATGATGAAGCATCTCACGCTCTATCCACCCAATCGGCTGTTTGACTTAAGGGATGAAATGTTAGAGCACTCTCGTCATGACATTTTTCTACTTTGAGCTTTGGAATTGTTATTTTGGGTGTACATAGTTTGAGAGATTGCATTACATGTTACGAGCACACTAGTATTTTACAACTAAATTAATTTCCCCCGACTCTTAAAAAACAACTTACCGATTGAAATTGCTCAAGGAAACGTCAACTCCATCGTGAAACTCTACGAGAAGCTCACCGAAGACGCTTTTGAAAATGACGTTTAATGTAGTTGTTGGTTCACCTGGCAATGAAAATTTTGATTCGTCTCCTTGCACTTCTTGAAAAATAAAATTTTGATGGTTGTCATGATTTCCTTTTTTTTTTTTTTTTTTCCAGAAAAATACAATATATATATATATATATATATATAAGTTTTACAGTGAAACAAGCGCAGCTGCCGCAATGACATTTTGTTTTTGACACATATAACGCCAGTTGTGTCATTTAAGTCCAATGCCTATTGACATTCATCTTAAAATGCCACTCAAATGTTCAAACAACTTCATTGTTCGATTCCTACTTCCCTTTCACAATCAATCCACATCTTATTTGGGTTTTCCCGGGTTAAAAATAATTGCAGATGGGAGAACTTCCCGGTCACCAATATTAGAAGAAAATGCAACACAACAGCTGCAAGAGTGTCACTTCTGCTTCTGAAGACATAGGTACCTCAGCAACACAAATATAATAACTATACAATTCTAAGGTCTTGCAATAAAATTCTCACTTTTCAGATAAAAACTAGGAAATGAGAAAGTACCATCTATACAGAGAACAAATGAGAAAAAAACAACAAATCCAGAAGTGCTAAACCACATCAAACAAGATAGATGCTAGTAAAATTACCTAAGGATGCAAAAGATGATAATCTTTTTATTCACAGTTTCTTTTTTCTGTTTTATTTTACGGTTTTACCCTTTTCCCCAGTAACCTCTAGAGAGAAATGCACACACCCCCATCTCATTACCGCCTAGCAAGGGTATCACCGCTGCACAGTGAAGAAAGCACGCAGAAGGGTAACCATCAACCTCCCTAAACTAAGGTAGTGACAGACAAATGCATCAACAGCATCACGGGTCAAGTTTTTTTTTTTTTTTTTTTCCTTTTATTCTCTCAAATTACCTTCCGTTTCTTCGTAAAAGAGGGCCACAATACTATCGCTTGGGTTCATTCAAGGTCTTCCCCTCAAAAAATTCACCAAGCATTCGGTCAAGATCCTCGGCGGTGTATCTGATGTACTTCTGGGGGTTCTTACCATTCTCAACCAGAGACCTGTGACACATCAAAACCCAATTCCAAAATCAGAATAAAGTAGCAAGTACAAAGGGAAGCTCTACTTGTCCAACTATAAAGAAACCGTTCTGTTCTTAATTTATATAAATATTCAGAGTGGTCTATTTTGTTTATTTTAGCAGAGCCACAAATAGTGTATTTATATAGAACTTTATAGAATTATCTAAGGATATGACATTTTTCAGACCACTTATTAACAATTTCGTGATAACCCCAACTTTTTCCAGTGAGGGTATTATTATTAATTTTTAGATCAAAAGCATAGCCATACAAATTTGTGTCTTCAGATGCTTAAAAGACAAAAACAAAAACAAAAAACAGTATAAAAAGATCGGAGAAAACACACCCAAATCGTTTAATGAAATTTCTGTATGCTGGCAACAAGACTTCAGCAACTGCAAGCCTAAGAGACTCTCGCAACTCACTGTCAGGAACAGTCCATTGAGATTGTCTTTGATGAAACTCCTCAAACTGCATATTGAAGGTCTTCAACCTGATAAAAACAATTCAGTACCTCTACTCAGCTAACATCCTTGGAAAATTGTATATATGAGGACAAAATGCAGAAAACAAATTTCAGAAAGGATGCAACTAAAAATTGACCTGTCCTTAATGAGAGCTCTTGAAACTCCACTGCTATTTCCTCCGTCAACACCAACTGAACTACCAGCACCCCCGGACGAGGTCAGACCCTGAACAGTGAGAACCTGCAGAATCTACAGAAAGAAAAGCACTCTAAATCATCTTTGAATGTGAACTAAAAACTTTTGGGACATCAAACATATTTGTAATTTTTACAGGGATGCTATTCAGGCTTCAAGCACATGATAGCACATTATTTTATTCCAGGGTGAAGAATATATTTTGGCAGTAATAAAAATATAACTAAAGAAACAAATGGAAGGCGTGAGAGCAGATATCTGATTGTATTAGGCTGAATTTCTACGTAAGTCGACAACAATGCATCATCCACCCGCACTATTTCCATGCTTTCAGGTTTTTAAGCAAGTGTAAAAATTTGAAATCCTACTATCACAGAAATTCCAAGTCCAGTCCAGGACACCAACACAAAATATTCATGGTGAGACCCTTGCTTCTTGTCCCAAATGCATATGAACAGAAAATCATACTTGGAGAACAAAATTCACATTATGATGGCTAGAAGTAAAGATGGAATACAATGCAACTAGAAGGAAAGATGACCAAACACACAGCATTTCCGTGCAAGTAAAAGTATGTGATAAGCAAATGCCTTGCAGTGACATCTGTACACTAACTCCAGGGGATGGAAAATCTGCATAACTTTATCATTGCAATTAAAAAGAAAGTTAAATTCTCATAAATAAATAAAAAATTGAACTAGAAAAGATATATTGTTATTCCGATATAGGACTAGATAGGAATAAAGACCTATTACTAATCTGCTTCTTAGTTCTATTCAAAAATATTCCAAAATAGAATTTGCTGGTGATGTTTGTGTTTCACTTTATTATATATTTAGAAATTGTTACTAAAGTGTGAAATATGCTAGACCAGTAACAGTAAAATCTTACCCACGTTAAGTGGCGAAGTGCCACTATTCCTCTAGCTAAAAAGCATAGATACTTTGAAGGATAGTCATGTGAATGTCAGACATGATCCTCCTCAAAACATGTTTCTAAGCCATCAATGTGTTCAAAGCAATAAAACAAAAATTTTAATGTACAGCTATAGCTATCATGTCAAATGCAGGATGGACATGACTGTTTAGTTTTACTATAGATAAAGAACATTATCACCGGATAAAGCCTACGTGGTTTCAGTTTTGTACATAAATTTGTACAGAATTTAGGATATGATATCTATAAAGCATGTGGATGCATGTGTGTGTTGGTACTAGTTTGCCTGTGCTTAATTGGACAAAATTCCCAAGTGTCACATCTTAGGAATTTCTTGTTCATAAATTCATAGAGAATCAGGATTTGAAAATTAAATGACCATGCAGCCTAAATATAGAGCCATGGCATCTAGAGTAATGAAAATAAACCCAAGCTTCTTGATACAATTTCAAGCACCATCAGTGAAAGCTACAAGTCAAGAATCAGATCTGGTTTAGTAATACATATGGGGTTACAGAACAAAACCTTGTGCCAAGCAATCCTCTTATACTGATTTGCATGTTGCTGCACAATTCTGCGGTGTCTCTGCACCCAATCATCCCCTAACAAGTCCTTGGCTTCGGACCTTAAAACAACATAAACAGTGTCATGCATACAAGACAGGCTTGTAATGCTTTCAACAAGCCAAATAGAACAACACGAGTAACAAACCTGCGTACAGATCTGACCATATAGTGAATATTGTTCATAAGAAACAAGTGGGTAAGAGCAGGATCTCTATACTGCTTGGATTTCCCATCCAAATTGGTTTGAAGAGCCTGCATTATACGCATTGTCACGGAGGCCAACTGAGAATTTGTTTCTTCCCCATTTTCAAATTCTTGGAAAAGTTGCTTCAAGGTTGATTGATAACTGAACAAGTTTGATTCATCATCATCAGGTCAATATGTCAACACAATCAATGTTAAACTAGGAGCAAAGCGTGTAGCAGCAGCAAGAATAATAACAAGCAGCATAGCCTCATAGTTTAGACCATCACATTATCACTTCAAAATTAAGATATAGGCTTGAGGGAAAACTAGCTCTTGCGTAAATTCAAGACATATTGCATTACAGTCAAATACTACAATTAAATAATTGAATAAACCCGTAAGCATGAAATACTAGATTGGAAGCAGAGCAGGTGGTGGGTTGGAATGAACAGCCTTTAGGTTACCCATAATTGGCTTGAGTTTGAAGTACCATAAAACAAGCTCGATATGAACCACTAAAACTCTGTAAATACTGCATCAGCTAACAGATTTTCACTGAAAAGATCAACAGAGAACACAGGTCCTGATGGGTTGGAATTTACTCTCTGTTAAAAGGGTGTTAGAGTAATGAGATACTGAGGACAAACATGAAAATCAGACAAATGAGGAACCAATATAATATTCTCCATGGAATCAAGCAACGAGGAAGCTTCTATGACTTCAGCACATTTGAGGTTATGAGAAAGTTCAAGTTTTATTCGTAGCCATGGAAGAGTGATCCGAAAAAAAACAGCCAGCGGAGAAAGTCTAATTGTTCAATTGATTACTTCCCACTCTTTCTGTATGATCATATCTGCTTTAAAGGATTAAGTTTCACAAGGAGCTTTCTCCTAGGGAATCTCCACAGCTATTTTCAAACTAGCTTTGGTCCTAGTAGTGGATCATATAAATGCTAACATGAATTGCAATGATGTATGTTCGATACCAGATGATAGTTGTACTACTTGGTCTAGTGTATTGTCGTAGGGAATCTCCACAGCTATTTTCAAACTAGCTTTGGTCCTAGTAGCGGATCATATAAATGCTAACATGAATTGCAATGATGTATGTTCGATACCAGATGATAGTTGTACTACTTGGTCTAGTGTATTGTCGTATCAACTCTATATATGTTCGATACCGAAAATTTTCCTTCCTTTTTTTTCAGTTCATATTTCATAATGTAAGAAGATGAGGGTGGGTCTTGGCGCAATGGGAAGTTTGCTTCATTGTGATCTGGAGGCCACGGGTTAAAAACTAGAAACAGCTCTCAATGCGGAGGTAAGACTGCATACATCTGATCCTATCCAGACCCCGCAATGACAGGAGCCCCTGCACTAGCCTAGGCCTTTTATAATGTAAGAAGATATTCTCATTATATGAATTGGAACTTAAACTGAATGATCTCATTTTATTAACATTTCCTATAAGGCATGCAACATGTCAAACAAACATTCCAAATTAAAAGGCATTATGTATATATTTTTATAAGTAAATTAAAAAGGTACTATATCCCATGAAGTTTACAACACTTAGGATCAATTGTACAAAAAGATAGAGAGATTGATGAGAATGTAAGTAGTGGAGGAACGCTGGTGGGGTTTTATGTGATAAACAAATGCCAAATAAGTTAACAAATAAAAAGGAATGTATATAGAACTGTCATTAGACCGGCTATATTATATGGAGCTGAATATTGGGCATTAAGAAAGAAACATGAACAATGCATCCATGTGGCAGAAATGCGGATGTTAAGATGGATGTTAGCAAAAACTAGGAAAATAAGTTTAATAATCAAAGGATTAGGGAGAACTTAGGTGTTGCGCCTATTAGCGAGAAAATAAGAGAAAGTGGACTTAGGTGGTATGGGCATATCAAACGCCGACCTATAGATGCACCCGTAAGGAGAGGAAGATTGATTTGCATAGAAGGTAGGAGATAAAGATGTCGACTGAAAATATCATGGAATGAAGTGGTACGAAATGATTTTAAAAAATTAAATCTAGTAGGAGATATGGCTTATGATAGAAAAGAGTGGAAAAAGAGAATTTATGTGGCCGACCCCATTTGTACGGGATAAAGGCAAGGACGACAATGACGAAGATGATATCCCATGCAATTTACACTTTACAGCCTTGATAACTATAAATACAATGGATTGTTGAATCTTCTAAGCAAAAAAGATTGATGGATACTTATGTGTATGTGTGTGTGTGTGTGTGTGTGTGTGTGTAACTAAGTAACTAAAGACAAGATAAAAATATTAAAATATGACCTTAATTAGTTTGCCGATATATACAAGAGTGTGTACAGCAAAACAATAATCTTATGCAACAGACAAGTATTGGATAGACAAGCAGAAAAGTAAAACTGACTTACTCAAACAGAAACTTCACATAGTTAATCACATAGCTTGTCAATGGATGGACAGTTCCATCCAACACAGCAGTTTTTGTTGCATCTTTTTCAACTGCTTCTTCAAAATCACCAAAGGTCTCTTGGGCTGTCTGGGCGAGCCGCTTTGTCAAACCAAATGCAGATTCTCTAATTTCATTGCAAGCTTTACCCTTGAAAAGTATTTCAATCTGCCAAGAGCTCAGCTTCAAGTTAATAAAATAATCTATACAGCCATTCCAAGTTGTATGGATACCAACATTTAGCATTCTAACATGCAAAATAGTGCAAGTCAGCATCAAAGAATATACACTTTGAATAGACCTGCCAATTCTTAATAAAATTCTTTGGTGGAACACTTGATGATTCAAGAAAAATAGCAGTTCGATAAATGATATTTCTCTAAGTATGACCCATATGATAAACCAATGATGACAAAAATTAATATCAAGATAGGAAGAAAAAGAGATCTCAGAAACAGAAAAAATCACTATCATAGACGCGAACTGCTATAAGCATCAAATTTAATTAATGTTTCACAATTTACAAAAAATAAAAGTACATTAAAATAATGTTGCACAATTTACAAAATATATATATACACACACACACACACACACACACACAAATACTAAAGTAAAAACACTAGTGCAATATCGGGCATAAATTAGACTAGCCCAGTAAATGATTACAAAGAGGGTTTATGAGAGCTACTCCAACAGCCAAGATTAATCCAGCACATCCATTAGATAGCTTAGTTATTAAATATAACCAACAAAACTCTCCACGAGATTATGACATTGCATGCATGTACATCATCCAATATTGAATACATTTTATGTAATATATTGGATAGGTTTCGCCCTTGGGTGTAAATTCAATCCCAATAATTTAATTTTTAGGCAAACAATGTCATATAAATGATTGAAGTCCAGTAACTGAATCAGCTTGAAATTTTCCAGGATCTTAAAGTTCCTGCTCTTTTTCAGGTCTTTAACAATTTGACAACATATCATTTCACTGCATATTATCATCACCTATTATATTTCTTGGAGACTTGAGCATAATATAAAATATTTAATTTTATAATATTCGAAAAAGTTTTTCAGTTTTGCCTATCATCCCTGATCCAATAATTAACAAACCAGATCCTTGCTTGGCTGAGTAACATTAAACATACCTCTGAGTGAAGCTCACGCATAATCTCATACATGTCTAAAAGCACAAACAACTTTTCAGGTGATCTCTTGCTTTTGGCAATCGCATCTCCAAAACTAAGTAGCACTGCAACACTACTAGCAGTCACTTCAGCAAAACATTGATCACCGAGAGAATCAACGCCTTCAAACATTTGATCACAGACTTTTCGCTCTCCAGCAAACAGCAGTTTGACCTGTTCAAGCAATATTAGATAGTTGAAGGAACATTTATCCACAAATTTGTTAGAGTCCAAATAGAACTTACTGCAATCCGCATGAAATGGATCCAATTCCCAATCTTAGCCTCCAAAACCTCCCACTGCATCTTCTGAACATCATCTTTACTAAGTTTTTCAACCCCCAATTTGCGAAGGCTTTCTTCCAGAACTGAAGAACGGGTATCCCTAATGAAAAAAAAAAAAAAAAAAAAAAGAAAAAAGAAAAATGAAGGTATGAGTATAACACACTTATTAGTTAATTTCATTATAATAAAAGATAAATTTTTTTTTTGACAAGTAATAATTCATTAAAAAAGCGTTCAAAAGGGGAACGTGTCCCTCAAAAACAACACGAGGCCAAATAGGGCCTTTAAATCCTCAACAAATCCAAAAACTCTACAAGCGCATCCAAGGATTTACAATTTCTTCCTAGAACCCAACAAAAAAGGGTGCTAAAAATGGAGAATTTCAACGACCCAACATGATTTTCCTTTCCCTCAAGGGATCTCCTATTTCTTTCAAGCCATAGACACCACCAAACGAAATAAATCATAGCGAGTAAAATTGCAGACAGATCAGACTTTGAATTCTTCATATGTATGTGTTGCTTCTCTCATAACATCTATGAATTTGAAGACCATTGCAAAATTAGAATGGGAAATTACTGCTAATTTTAAAGTTGATGCTATAGTTAGAATACCTTTAGAAGAACAGAAAATTGGTATCGAGGTTGCAGTCTTCAGTCACTCTATTGGCACAATTTCATGTCTCTGTATTCCCATTTTTTCTAAACAATTTTATGTTCCCCATCACAATTAGCTGGAACTAACTTTGACTGCAGAGAAGCTTGCAACTAGATTCTTATGGCAGATCACATGGTATTAAAAACACTTTATTTCCTAAATCAAATCCCAAAGAAGCTGACTGCATTTTCTCAATTTCAATGCCCAAATCAGATTCCAAAGCAGCAGACAGCAGTTCTAAATTGCAATTTTTTTTTTTTTTTTTTTGTGCACTTAAACAATCACATGAATCATATGAATAAGTATAGGTTGAGAAAATTGGTTCCAGAATAGATTAAGGGAGGGTGTAATGCTTCCATTATCTTGACAAGAACAGATGGCATAACCCTCGTTTATTTATTTATATTTATATATTTATTTGTTTATTTATTTATTTGAGGTTGGACAGAGTAGGACAATAATTTAGAGCGGGAAATAATTTTGGATGATATGCTGACAGACCATTATCATGTCCGGTCTGGATCTCAGACAGATTCTGAATTGTTTCTTTATGCAGAACATAACCAGCTTGAACATAACATGAAGTGAAAACAGAAGTTGTTACCTGTATATTTTCAGTAACTGCTGTTGGTGACTAGCTTGAACCATCTGTTGTGCTAAATCATGCAGCAATGGCAAAATTCTTGGTGGTATGAGAGTTGGAGGTGTATAAACAGCATTTTCCAAGCTACTATTGTGGTGCTCAGAATGATTACTCTTGATTCCAGAGTCACCCTGGTTCAGTGGCGATCCTGATGACGGTCGTAGTGCATTTGGGAGACACTCAAAAAGACGATCAGGTTCCACGGGTTTGCTGAACAACAGGAATATAAAAATAAATAAATGCAGCCTACTTGAGAGGCTAGGAAAACTTCCCCTAATTCATGTATTATTAGTTTAGTCTTGAAGATGCATCATGTATAGTTGAATGTATAAAACACAAAAGAAGTAACAAATTATGAACTCTGAAAAGAATCAATAATGTCTTTGATCAAAACACATTTCTACAATCTGTTTATGCAGATTAGGCAAGGAAAGGTATTTATAAGATATAAAGCAGTTTCAATTAAAGAAATGATAGCACAGAAGTGAAACATTGGTCAATTATCTTGATTTTTGGTTAATATCTTGAAAGAAACACCAGAAATATGATATGTTATTACATGCACATGATTGGCAACCAATACCCAGAAACATCATAAAATGTCTTAAGAAAAAATGCCCCTTAGCAACTAGAAGAGACTCGGGAAAAGCAACGTATCCAGAAGCTCAAATCCTTTTAACCTTAAAGAATTAATAATAATAATAATAATAATAATAATAATAATAATAATAATAATAATAATAATAAAAGAAAGAAAGAAAACTGACACAGTAAAGACACAGGAAAAAGATTACGAAAATATTTTATTTTACTTGTCCAGATAGAATCATAGAAACATTAGCTATAGGAGTAAAAGGAATCACAATAATAGCCATGCTATACAGGAAAAAATGCCAAACAGCATTGATCCAGGATGTTCATAAGATGAGCTTGGCTGAAATCAAAATTCCGAAACTAATTTGTGGTGACGAAAGAAAGGATAAATTAGAGTAAAACATTCATGGGATAGAGGAAGTAGCATGAATTTAAGATAAAAAAGAGAAAAACTGACTAAGATGCTTGGCCACCTGCAAAAGAGATGCACCAGTGTGGAAGAGAGAAATGGTCTGTGTTGAGGGGAAATGCCACGGAATGTGAGCAGAGGTAGAAAGACACGTAGTAGTGTATCACTTAACTAAAATTATGATGCTTTCTCATAGTAAGATGAGGGGTGGCAGTTAAAGGAACAATAGCAGCTAAAGATATCAGATACAAATCACAGAAGGCATCATTAAGAATGCTATAACAAACCTGTAAGATGCCAAGAGTTGCTTGAACTCCTCTTCCAACTTTGAAATAGCCTTAGCAAGTAAACTATTGGCATTGTTGACCACCCCATCACTACTCCTAAAGCTTTTGTTGCTGCTAAAAAATCGAATGTTGCTTCTTAACTGCTCAATTGCTTCAAGATAACTTTCCAGGTCTTCATGTGGCCCTTTAAGTATTTTAGCCTCTGCCTGCAGATTGGCATAATAAAAGTATCAGCAACTGTTAAAAATAAGTATACATTTTCACAGATATCATTTTATGAAAAATAGATGATATACCATGGAGGAAAAGAACCGCAAATGAAAATTTTAAAAGCATGAAGAAATTGTAACTCCAGAAAAATATTTTCCTGTCCATGACTCTGAATTGGAACTTTGTGGGTGTCTGCCATCTGTAATGGGAACCCTCTATTTGAAAAGACAAATATAATTTTCCTTAATTAATCGTGATGGCATAAAAGCAGACATATCATTAACGTTGACCAGATACACCAAAAAATATGGGTGGGTCCCAGTGGAACAGCGAATCTATCAACCGGCCAACTTGTTCAGATGACAGGTTTGGTTTGAAATTTCAGACAAACCAAATACTTGTGGGCTTGGTTTAGACTCCCTAGTCAGCCCGTACAAATCCAACAAATTTATGAACTAAAATTAGTTGCCAAGTGTAGATGATTATGGCATGTCACACTCCATGTGACACTATTTATTACTAAAAATACACCTGGTCAGTGCTGATTGGGCCATGTCAGGACCTGCCTGGCATTTCTCCGGAAAACCAGTAGTCTCGAGCTACTAGGTCTGAAATCGCAATGCTGAACTCGCAAGAGGAAGGGGCTGCCACCCTTACCTCTCCCGTGGAGGTACCCCGCTCCAGTCGGATGGGTCTCACCATCTTCTCTGAAGCTTTCCTCTGCAGAGGAAGCTTCAAACTTAACTGTTCATCTAGAGCTCCCCCTGCATAGGAGCTCAAGGCTTAAAGGAAGGGTGGAAGCTCGAGACCAAAGAAGGAAAGTCCCAAGCAATTTCCCTATCTCCTCCTACTTCGCGGGAATCTGAGTATCAGTGGTTAGGCAGTTGAGTTCTAAGGATTCGCCTCACCTCAAGGTCTACACAAGGGGAAGAGAATGCTTAATTTAATACCCAATAGCTGAGCTCGAGTAGTAGAGACCACATAATACATTAAATATATGTTGATTGATTGATAAGAACCACATTTAATACAGGCCATCGCCACCACCTCAGAAAGGGGCAGCAGCGTACCTCAGGCTGCCTACTAGATGACCAACCTATCAGTTATTAGGTAGAATGACCATTGGAAAGAAGGAGCTACCCTCATAACCAAGGGTCCTTACCTAGGTAAAGCGACCATTGGATAAAGAGAGAGTTGGCTCTCATGACCAAGTCCTTACCCAAATGAAAGTAGTATAAATAGGACTAAACTCTCATCATTTAGGGAGGGGAAAATACATATACACCACCACAAGCATAACCATAAATAATGGTCTTCTAGGACTCGAGCCACCATAGGGTGTTAAGCAAATCTGCCTTCTCTCTCTCAATCTCCTCTATGGAGAATCCCCTGTGCTAGCTTGGAGCTCCACTCAGCCTCTGATTTCAGTATTCTCAACAAACATGGAACAATCTCCTCAACTTATCAAGAACAGGTATCAACACCAATAGGTTCATGGGCGGAACCAAAGGGGGCTACATGCCCCCAAATACCCCCGCCCTGCACGGGGTAAAAGAAATATCAATTTTTTGTTTAGGGGTACTTATCAATTGATATTAATGGTGAGCTTGAAACAAAAAATTACATGTGGCCCCTCCAAAGTAACCTTTTAAGTTTCTATATATCAATACTCCTTTCAGATGTGTGTCTATATATCTATATAATAGCTATCATCTATATGAATTCAAGAGAAAAGGATGCTCAGCATTCGACAGAATGTCAATCTCATTTGATGGTTCATCATGTTTTGTTCTCTCTATTTCTCTACTTGCATCAACCTTCCCTTATCTATTTATTTAAGTTTTATTATCCTATTCTTTTAGGTTATATCATGGTATGTTCCTCATGTTTTTAGGTTATATCAAGAAAATGAAAAGTTTGTGATGAAGGTGGCTCTTGCTAAACTCGCCCCCTTATAACCATTGGATCGCAAGGCTCAGTGTAAAGATCTAACAATTACAAGGACAAAACTGAATGACAGTGTCTTCATGACAGACATGCTTTTAAGAATATTTATATACATAAACTAATATTGAAAGGAAAAGCCCTAGAAAAAAATATATCGAAAGGAAAAAATTCATTACAATTATTTTATAGGAGACTGTTAGTTGCTTGGGGATCTTCATTTTGGTGTGAATTTTAATGATGGATAATCTGAAGAGGAGACATATTTTGTGAACTGGTGTTGCATGTGCAAAAGGGATGAGGAGTCGGTGAATCATCATCAACTGCAATGTTCAATGGTCCATGATAGTTTTGTCATGCCACGTTTCGCGAGGAGCATGATCGAGGCTTAGAGGTTTTATAGTGGGTACCCAAGCCCGAGATGCTTGGGAGTGTGGCGCCTTTGTGTGTATGGTGGGGCTTGCAGAGAGAACGAAGTAGGAGATCCTTTGATGGAGAAGAGACTCCTATTGAGGTGCTTAAGATCTCTATTACTAGTTCTTTATTTTGTAGGACTTTTGGGAGAAATCGTAAATCTATGGGGGAGAGTGGATTTTCTGGGACATGCTGAGCGATTAGGGGCCCTATTTGGCCCTTGTGTAGTTGTTTTGTGGGATGCAGTCCTTGGTTGAGTGCATGTTTCTATAAGACTTATAAATAAAAAAGTAATCACATAATACTAGTTGGGTCCTGCAACTGAATGTTTCTGGTTCCATCCCTATATTGGATTTTTGTTTGTAAACTACTTCTATATAAAAAGGTTTGCACGTTAATTTGGGTTTGAACTTATAGCTTGGACCTAAGTAGCATGGAAATTGAAATGGACATCCGACACATCAAATTTTAGAGAAGTAGGACATGAATACAGCATGGACACAAGTAAATATCAAAATAAAGTTTTATTTATATTAATAAAGTTTTATTTATATACCTATATCAAGTAAGACAATTGTAGAACTTTAATTAATTTTTTATTTCTATACAAAGAGTTAAATAATTTAGAAAATGAAGCTATGCGAAGATCATAAAAAAATTAAAAATTTATCCTACTAGCCTCCTCCTTTTTCATAACAACTATATTTTATCGTATATAGAGTTGTTCGACATGGACACGGCACTTCGTTGAAGTGTCTGTGCTTCTTAGGTAAAGCATGTGTTACTATTAAATGGGAGGGGAAGATTGAAGATACAGGAGGCTTCTTTGGGAGACAGGTTCAAGGTTGGCTTTCTCACCCAAAGAAAAAAGTTTTGACGTTAGCTCTTAATATTATATTGTTGAGTAGGTGAGAGTCCTCTTTTCCTTGGAAAGCTTTTGGCGGTACAAGGTGTGAACTTGATATACATTGTCATGCCCATTCCTTACTAAGACTTTTGGGGCAGTTGATGTTCAAACTGGTATCACATCCTTGGTTTTAGGAGGTTTGAATTCAGGTCTACACAATTTGCATTTAATTTTCTGTTTGGGCTCTATGGGGTCACACATAAGAGGGGGTGTGAGAGCTTGATATACATTGCTGGACTCATTCCTTAACAGCTTAAACTTTGGGACAAGTGGTAGTCCAGGTCTTGGGTTTGAATTTCATCTGCATTTGTTCCTCATTCTGAAAGCTTGCACTTTGTAATATCTGGTCAGACATAAGAGTTGAGATTATATACATTCTTTGACCAATTCTTGTGCAACTTAACCTTTTGGGCAACGCAACCTTTTGGGACAATTGAAGTCTAAAATTAAATAAATACTGATAATTTAAGATGATGCGGTAAAATTATTCTTGATGTTGTTCCATGTGCAAATAGAAATAATCAGACCATGAATCATATGTCGATCCACTGTTGAGAAGAAAGGGAACCTTGGTCTACTCTTTTTCAATCTTTTGAGCTTTGCTTAAATGAAGTGTTGGAGGGCAAGAGATGACATGAATGAGATTGTGATGTTGACTGTCACACTAAAAATTTGAAATACAGGAAAAAAAAAAAAGAGGAGATATTGAATATTGATATTGTAATGGAAGAATGATGGAAACTAATAATAAAACTTCACAAGTTCTAATGAAATTTTGGTAAATATAATACTAGACTACAAGGAACAATTAGAATTACAATATTATAATTGAAGATGCAATGATACGAAGTGGACCATGTATACCATCCAAAGAATGCAGACTTAAGTAAACCATTTCAATTATATACTCATCCATACCCAAGAAACTGTTTATTAAAATATCAGTTAATCAACTTAACCTACTACCATAATTGATCTAATACAATAGTGCGTGAATATCATTGAAAGGAAAATTTTAGTCACCACAACAAGCTTAAGTAAATATCTTCTTTTCTATTTGAGCTAGCTTAACTAAATATCAATTTATTTAAAAAGTAAAACGGACCTTATTTTAATTTATTTGGGGAGGATTTTGGTGGATGGTGTTCTCTTGAGGTGAGAATCTCAGATGGTGTTGGGGTTTGGAAATTCATCCCAAAGGGTTGGGATGCATTTTCTAAACACATCAGGTTTCGAGTTAGGGATGGCAGCAGAATTCGTTTTTGGGAGATCAAATACTTTAGAGAGCATTATTGAGAGATTATATCATTTAGAGAGCATATTTTCATTTTCATCATCTAGCATGTTGCATTAGATGGTGAGTTATATAATTAAAAGTACTAATTATTATCTTGTGGAGCTTACATCGTATTCAACACCGAATCGTTTCTACACAACAAAGACAACCTAGAAGGCTAGTGGCTTAGACCAATTCACTTGTGGAGAAGCACATTTGTGAGGAGCGAAATCTATTGACGATCGGAGAGGCAACTTGAAGACTCTAGGGGGAAAGTTTGTGTCATCTGTGTCAGAAAGGTAACTAGGGGTTTCTAAGGTTTGGGAAACTATTAACCTAGGTTATAAACTTCCTTTCTCATAGTAGATTTGGTTTGCCAGGACTAAACCCTGTATTTTTTCTCCATTGGGGTTTTTCCACATAAAAATCTTCTGTTTTGTGTGGCAGCATGGTTTATTTATTTTTGCTCTCAATATTTAACTGATTCATAATTGTTGGCCAATGGTCCCATAATATTATCATAGAAGGTTTTTTTTTTTTTTTTTTTTAAATATATATACATAGAAAATATATACAGTTAATTATTAACAGGGATAAGATCCGAATCATGTTGTACATGAGTAGGCTCCGTAAGATCCAGTAGAATAAGTGAAATAGATAAATCATAATATTGACTTACTTAAGTTCTAGCTAAAAAAGAAAAAAGTTAAAAGTATTGTAGACACTGTATATTTAGTATTATATGATTTTGCTATACAATATATACAGGGTAAATTACCAAAAAAAGGACGCTATAACTACACTTTCTGCAAAAACCTCACTGACCTACGCTTTTTACAGATAACCCCCTAAACTATTTAAAATTGTTGCAAATAAGCCCCCACTATTTATATTCCATTAATAAAATAACAAAATTTAGTCCTGTGCGAATAGTTTTGCTATTATGCCCCAGTTTTACTTGTGTTGATCCAATATCATAACACCCGACCAGTTATCCTTTTTTGAATCAAAAGTAGAAAAATCATATTTAGCCCTTATTAATGAAATTAAAGAGTATATTCTACCCTCATTTAAATCATCTATTTCCTTTCCTTGACTTTCTCTTCCCCCTGCTCTTTCTATATTCTTTCTTTCTCTAGTTGAACTCAACACAAAAGTGACTTCAATTCACCATCAAACCACCATAGCTAGGCTCCAATTGCATAGCATCACTAAATCAATCCCATCGTTGCCACTATATATCAAAATCAAATTTAGTAACAAAACTAGAATTCTTTTTACGTTGTCTCGCTATTGGAACCAAGAAGAAAGTAATCTCTCTCTCCAACTTTCCTTAATTTCTTTTCCAAATTTTACAGAAGTCCCCCTCCCTCCCTATCCAACTTTCCCTAATTTCTTTTCCAATTTTTACAGAAGTCATTTGGGGTTGGGGGGCATGAAGAGGCCTAATATTAATTGTCTTCCTGTTAATCTCCCTCCTGTCATTCGCTTTAAAGATTTTGCATAGTAAGTTGTCCTATATACAACTTGATTGCCATCATCAGATCATCTTACTCGAATGCTTTTACTTCGAGCTAGTCTGATTTTTGATAAACTTATTTTAGCGCATATACATGAGTTCATGTTGCAATCAAGGTGTTTTAAAATCCTCAGATTGTTTCTGCATAATAGAGAGACGAATTGCAATCAAGATGTGTTAGAATCCTCAATTTTGATTTCTGAATCACAAAAAAGTCTTTGTGAAGTGGTTTTCATTTTTCTAGCATGCTCTGGCTTTCTTTGAATTCTGACACAGAACACGTCTAAAAAGGACAACTCATTTGGATTCAACAAATCACTCGGTCCTATTCTGTCAATATATCAAATGTGTTTTCTTCATCTGCTCAATCTTCTTCGACAATAACCTGGTACTCATGCTCAATTCCACAAAATATTTTCTTTCAGCGACATCATTCCTCACCGCAATCTGAGTTTTTGGTCAATAAATGATTGGCTTCCCCAATGATCTCTAAATCACAGGCATCAACCCGTTCACTGTCAATATGCTAGGAGAATACATGCTCCAAAGCTCCCAACTGAAGTTGCTCAAACAGAAGGTGAAATATCCCAATGGCTAACATGCTGGCCTATTTGGGTTGTCATCTCCAATCACTGATACGATGAGGTGGCAATGGAACAGATTTTGAGGTGGTGTCAGAGATGATTGGGGGCTCTGATACGTATAAGTCTATGTGTAAAGCTCATGATTAGAAAATCAATTACACTTTGAGAGAGAAAAAAACAACTCTTCTAGAGAAATCCATAACAATTTGGGCAGTAAATAGAGAAGGAAAAATCTAAAGTAAAAATAATTTAAAGTAACATCCTACTATAAATATATATTAAAAAATAATAATAAAAAAAAAGAAAAGAAAAAAAAGTGTGCGCGAAGAAAAATATTATATGAGTTTGTATGTATTGTGTACGATCAGCTGCTGCATGTCCACTGAAGTAACCTCCTTATAAATATAATTTTATAAAATTGTATTGTTTTATCTAGTGACTCTCCAAATATCACTTTTTGTAAATACATTTAATGTTTCATGTGGTGCATACACCTATTATATGAAATTCTTGCTTCTAATTGTCTCTTGTATAAAAATTTACTACTCTACTTACTCCATTCTGAAAACTATCCTTGCCACACAAAACTATCCTTACCTAACCTCACTAAATTTTATTTAGCTGTTTGTGGACAAGGTATGTCGATTTTTCTCCTTTTTCAACATGTCCATAAGTTCAATGCTGACAATTGTAAATCAAATTAGATAGCAATCATAAACACACATTGACAGAAATTTCAGAGATCTATATAATAATCAAAATGGGAAATAAATTACAAATGACTAATAAAGCAATTTGGATCACCAACCTGACGAGACAGATCGAATTGGGCCAATATAACTTCTGCAGCCTTTAAAGTCCTATCAATGTTCTCGTGAGATATCCGAATAGAATGTGTTCTAATCTGAAAAATTCAGATCAAATAGCAAAGTTAAGCCCACAACCCCAACAATATCACCATATTAAAGAGCCATATCTCAGCCTACTACATTACAAGACAAAACACCCTTACAAATCTCTGTTTGGCCACTAAGAAAATGCATAAGAAAACGAAAAGAAGTTAGATCTTAAATCATTTATTATTGAAGAACTCATTTAGCAAAAAGGTGATTGAGATCAGGATTATATTTTGTTCTTTTTTTCAAAAAAAAAAGATCGATTACTGAGCATCTAAGCAAAGGGTAAGTTGATCTAATCAAACCCAGAAATTCTTTCTTTTTTTCCTTTTTTTTGGCAACTGACCCAGAAAAAATTGGTTGCTAAGCAATTATAATTGAAGAAGCAAACCAATATATTAAAATGGGTTTTGTGAAACAAAATAAATATCCCATTTTCTTCTGTTTTCTTTGGTTTTCTCGGGAACCAACCAAAGGGGTATGGTATATAAGCAGATGAAACAAAACCCAGAAGTGGGAGTGTGACCTGAGTGGGACGCATGGCGGTTTCGAGGGCGGAGAGGCGGTGGTCAAAGGAGCCAAGGATGGAGACCATGTTGTCTGTGATGCACTGACTCTTGTGCAGTGACTCTCTCATCAAGGCCGCCCTTTCGCTCAGCATATCCACACCCACTGGAGCTGCCGCTAGAAAACCCATCTTCTCTCTCTACCTCCTCAACTTTCTCTCTCTAGCCTACTGGTCTGGAGAGCTTTTTTTGGTTTGTAAACGAAAAACACAGGGCAACGAAATAATGAAGTGTGCGCGTTCGTTGACGATTATTTAGACAGACAGAACATAGATATCCATGGATTTATATGTGCTACTATATTTTCTCCTTTGACAGGGTGGATCTTGGTGGGCTGTAAAAAATCATGGTGTCTTCAATGAGTCGAGCCCAAGTAAGGTAGATTTTGTTAAATTTTACAATAACATATAAATAATATATATATATATACACACACACACACACACACACACAATGTATTGAAATCAATTATTAAATGTATTGAAATCAATTATTAGAAATAAAAAATAAGTGTTTTTACATAAATTATAAATCTAAAAAGGTATTAATCAAGTTAGTGCTACTAATATGAACAGTTTTTCATTAATTGATTTAAGAAAACAAATAAATAACAGTCTATAAATAAAATAAAAATGTATATACAAAAAATATTAAAAAATAATAATAGACGTTTATCCAGTAGTATAGATTTGAGTGTAATTAGATTATATCTGCCGAGTTAGTTGGGTCAATCCAAATCCAACATGACACAATATCTTAAAAACTACTCCCCATTTGAAAGTCATTCAAAGGGTATTTAAGGCAAAGACAAAATCCGGTCAAGTTAATCCGAGGTTAAAATATTTTATTTATTATCTTAATGATATAATTATCTTTTAGAAAAACCTCTTTGCTATTATAATATTTTATTTAGAAAAATTCTAAATATCACAAATTATTAAATCACGAAAATAACTTGAATTACATAAGATTATGGCAACTTTGTGGCGGATGATATGACAACTTAACCTTGTGTATTATGAAAAAAAAATGATTTTGTCTAGAAAATATGTGGTATGATTGAAAGAAAAATTAGGAAAAAATTATTTATGATAAAATCTGAACTCCAATAGAACTTTTGATAGGGTTAATCCTTTCTCTTCAGTAAGAACCCTAATTTTCTAGATCAATTTTTACGTGTGAATAATTAGACAAATACATAATTCACTTAAAACTTTTTAAAGTTATATTTTGAGTCATCTTTATCTTAAATAAGATCCCTAATTTCCTTTATTTGATATTTGAGCTTGAATTTGATGTGGCAATAACTAAAAAGACATTAATATTCTTTATTTTAGTACATATTACACTATATTCTTTTATACATTTGTGTTTCCTATTAGAAAAATGAAAGAACAAACTATTACACTAGGTTTCTCTGTCTATCTCTAATTTTGTTTTCTCTACTAATATTTTTATTTATTAAATGTGTATATATATATATATATATATATATATATATATATTCTATTCTGCCCTCTATATATTTTTCAATTACTCTATACATATTGGGTATATCTTTCAATTTAACACACAACAAATCAAAATACAATTATAAAAAGCTTAAGTGAAGGGGGGCAATATTCGCACTCCACTTTTCTCCTACTCCATTTACGTTCTTCAAATGATTAAAAAAAGTATTATTTTTTGGGAGGTCATCTCAAAGAAAATAATTTATTCAATACTAATAATTATATTTTTGGCAGTCAAAAGAGGTAATTTATTCCATGGTGATTTTTTTTTTTAGGTACAATCACAAGATATATTTATTCAACAAAGTTAACTTCTTTTTTTTTTTTTGATAGTTTTTTATGGGCCTGTCAAAATAAATAACTTATTCGATAAAAATAATATATATATATATATATATATATATATATATATATATATATATGTTTTGGTCTTACCAAAAGAGATAATTTATTCAATAAAGATATATATTTTTTTAATTCTTTTTTTTGTAGTGTTTTTTTTTTTTTTTTTTTTTTCTTTTGGGATCTTGACAAAAGCGATAATTTTTTTTTTTAAGGAAAATGATATTTTTGGCAACTTTAATGCCCTGACTTAAAATCGACATAGATAAAAATATGACTGGTTATCTAAAATTTCAACTTAAATAAGTATCATTATTACTCTTGTTTATTTCCATAAAACACGTCCATTTTCTTTTCCTTATATTATCAGTTTTCCATATCCCCTTTCCTTATTTTTTTAGTTTTCCATATATAGTTGTATCATTTTTTTTTTTCTTTTTTCGTTTTCACAGGAAGTTTTATAGTACTCAAATATAGTAATTTGATTTGTACAAAATTTAGAACAAAAACTACAATGTTTTTGCTTTGCAAATTTTTTATTTTCCTCTCATTGTTTTTGTTTTTTAGAGTCATATATATCATTAGTTTTGATCATTATAGCAGCTAACAAATGCGTATCAAAGTAGTAGATAGATATTAATGATCAAATACATAATCTTTTATATATAACGAGGGATACATAATCTAATTTTATATAGAACATGCAATCTGAAATATCTCAAGAATAGTTACAGAGATGGAATGTGATGTATAATTTGATATATATGATGATTGAAACTTTAATCATCAACAATGATACTTGATTAAGATGAAACCTAAAAACGGACGACGACATTTCAAATAGTTAATTACTTTATATTTTAAAATGGGCCTCATTATTGTGACTCTTTTTTTAATGGTTACTTTTTACAACATAAATATTTATTTATTTATTTATTTTTGTCCAGGAAAAAAAAAATTAAAAAAACATATATATTTTTGTCTTGTTAAAAGATACCTAAAATATTGAAAATTAGAAATAAGGAGATGAAATTAAAAGGACAGTTATGTTATTTAAAAAGTAATAATTATTTATTTATAAAGTTATGGTTAAAATTGCTATTTCATTTAAGATTGTAGTACAAGTTAAAAAGTGGGGTGTGGATATTGTCTTCCTAAATTATGTAAATTAGGGTTCTTATTGATGAGAAAAAGGTCATTCTTGCAGCTTTTAGGTTTAATTATCTAACGATTTGATAGAAGGGGTTCTTATTCACGAGAAAGAGATCACTCATTCATGGTTGAAAAATTGTAGTTTTTAATTTTAATCATCCGAAGATTGAATGGAAAAGGTCTCCCAAATGTATATAATGGCGAATTAAATTGAAGTTATTAAGTTATATGAGGGTTTAGATGCTATAATAGTAAGTTTTGGTATTTTTTCTCTCTCTTTTCTATATTAATATATTTTTTATATTAAAAAAATTACTTTTAAAACCAAATAAGGTGAAAATGAGCACCCACCTAATTCAAGATAAAATCACAATTTCACAAATAAAAATTCGTGCAGTACCTATGGAATATTTTCATCTACTACTAGATTAATGTGGTTGGTCAATCATCCTATGGTTCGTTATAGATTTATGTGGTTGGTCAATCAGCCTATGGTTCGTTATAGTGTCTTGTCACTATTGGAGAAAAATTTTCCCTCCGCATTTATGAAAATTTTCCTACTTTTTGTTATTTTCAATATTATTGTTCAATATGTCCAACTTCTGAAAAAAAAAAAAATTTGTTCACTATATAATTATAAAAAAATTATTTTACATAAAAAATATCCATATATGGACTATATATAACCCTCAAGTGGATTCTTCAATTGAATTTGAAACCCAAATTTGATTGGTGTTGACATCCCATTTTATATCAGTTGTAAAGACTTCCTATCTTTGATCAGTCTTTGATGGTTGAAACAGAACAACTTTGATTCAGTCTGATGAGAGTCTGTAGATTTCTTTGAGTTTAATCAAATTCTTTGGAGCTTAACAAGTCAGTAGTAGAACTTAATTTGATCTTGATATGCACCTTATAACAAGTCTGCATTTGGATTGGCATCCTTATGTTTTCATGTCAATTCTTTTTTAAAATTTCCCAATTTGGATATGCATTAAGGGACTTGCATTTGACATACGTATAACCTTGAAAAGAAGTGGAGGAGTATGAGCCCGGTGTGGGCCAAAAAAGATGTGTGTTTGCTTTATTATTCAAAAAATAAAAATAAAATAAAAAATAGTAAAATACATCATTGGTGCAAAATAATAACCAACGTTAGATTTGAATCTAATTTCTCCCTACCATCATCCACGTGGCAGAATCCAAGTAACATAAAGCAGGAGGTGAAAGAGTGAGAGCAAGAGCAAAAACACTTGGAGGGTCAGTGTGCGGCACTGTTGAGAAGAATTGTGTGACTTGGGGCAAAACAAATACGTAATAAAGCTCTATAAGAGACAAATTACAAGATCTGGCCTCAATCATTTGATAAGAAACCGCAGTAGGTTCCCAAATTGCAAACTTTTCAACCTTCGAAGAAAACCCTCATAATCAAGACAATCCTCTTCAAGGTCACATGCTAGGTTATGTAGATAAAACAGAAGATTTCTTGAAGGAAAAAAACATGTCTTAATCTGATAAAACTTCTTGTCAACAAAAGGCTTTGATGGCTTCATGTTGACACAGATTATAATCAGTAATATTGTTGGAGAAAAACTCAAAACATCAACTTGTATCACTCGTCAAAATAATGAATCTTCTTTACATTTCTAAAAATCTTGAGGCACATACTCAAGACACTTCGAATCAAATTAAAGTCTTTTCATATGATCCACATACATATATTTCATGACAACCCCCCCTCACCTAGAACAATGAGTCCATAAATGCAATGCCTTGTAACCAATTCAATGACAGATGAACTAATCTTCAACAGCTTGTTAACAGGTCCTCAACCAACTCTTTCAGCATCTCGAAGAAGCCATGTTCGACCTTGAGGGTCAACTTAAATTGCTAAACGAGCTAAGCTCAAGAAACACAAGCTATTTTTGGTATGACATCGCTAACAAGTAACAATCTCACACCAACTTGTCAAAAATTTGTTGCATTTGATCAGTGACAAGCCCTGCAACTATCTCAGGAGAGAACCTACTGATCATGTCATTTCTTGCCTGCATTCCTTTGGACTTAGCTTCCTCGGGATTGCTCATCACACGCCTCATTAGAACTTGAAGCTTGTTAACAGAAGGTTCAGCCCAAAGGTGCCCTTTGAATGGCCCTTCCATTACTTCACTCATTCCATCCACTGGCAAAGGATAGCCATTCTCCTCTGTCAAATACTCAGTCGGTCCAGACCAGTTTGTTGCGATCACTGGCAATGACATTGCCATGGCCTCCACAAGAGGCCGGCCCCAACCTTCCCCTCTTGACGGAAGAACAAATGCATCAGCTGCCTTGTATAGTCTTGGCAGATCAACCTGAGCTATGTGGGTATCAATCACATAGATCGGAGCCCAACCATCAACCGGTTTTTCTACATCAGAATCCTCCACAAACTCCACAATCTTGTTACCAAAGTCTCTATCGGAATGGTATGGATTTGTTAACAAAATCAAAGCAACCCCATCAGCCCTAGAGAATTCCTTTAAGTAGGATTTCAACAACACATCCCAACCCTTCCTGTATTCCCACTTAAAAATACTCAAGAAAACAAACTGCTTTCCGAAATTCAAATCCCTTGGAATTGAGCCTAAAACCATAGTCCCTCTAGAGGCAAGATCTAATGGCCTATACTTGAATGGATCAAAGAACTTGACATCGACCGGTTGAACAATTTTCACAACCTTCGACAAATCCACTCCACTTTTAACAAATGTAGATACATGGAATTCAGTAGGAACCCAAACCGAATCCATTTTATTACTCCGTCTCACGTGTTCAGGATTCACCCTATCGGTCTCGAACATGGTCCGACCAATCACAAACCTAAATTTCCCATAACCAGTTGGTGGGCATGGGAGTGTCTGAAACAAAGGAGGGTACCAAGCACCAGGCTCACTATGACAAACCACAATGGTCTCATTCAATCTACACTTAGTGTGGTAAAGCTCAGAAGCCAAATTTCTCATGTTTTCTGGCAAACCCTCCCAAAACTCCACACTATCTTGATCACCATGTTGGTCAATTCTCAATCTGAATCTAGGGTTTTTCATGTTTTCATGTAGGGCTAAGATATAAGACCAGGCTTCTGAGCTATACCCACCACCAGAAAGAAAAGGCGCCATCCACAGGACACATTGAGAGGGTTTGGAACTGGGTTTTTGTTTTGGAGTCAGTTTTGGTTTCTGGGTTGGGTGAAGAAACCTTAGGAGTCTGTGAAAAGGGTTTGGGTGTGAAGAGAGGGTTGATTTCAAATGTTGAATTTTGTAGTAGTTTGTGTTGGTGAAACTGAAGGAAAAAGCCAGAAATACAACTAGGATTGACAAAAACAAATGGAGGGGTTTCAATTTGAAGATCAAAGTGTGTGTTTGGGAGGGTTTTGGTGAGTTATGAGGCTCTTGGGTCTCATTGGAATCCATTTTAATGGGATTGTAGAAAATTGAAAGAAATACAAGAGAAAATTGCAACTCCTGAGCATCCAATAAGTGAAGTATACAACAATGTTTTTGAGAGAGAGAAATCACTTCTTAAGCATCCAATAAATGGATTCGGAAAGATGGCAAAGGTTACAGAATGGTAGAGAGAGAGAGAGAGAGAGAGAGAGAGAGATTACCAGAACTGGGGAATTTGGGTGGAGGCAAGGAAGGAACAGAAGCGCCTGTAGTGATCCCCACAAAGAGGCTCCAGTTAATGGCTTTGGATCCGTGATTACAACAATTCACGAACTTTTTTTCTTCAGTCCATTTAAGTCAATGCGTACAACTCCAATTCTTAAAATAATTAAATAAAGAAATTGGAAAAAATCTTCGCTTTCATTTTATAAGCATCCAACACTCTTATTCCAAACATGTCCCACAGGATTTGTATTTATTTATTTTTATTATAAAAAAAACTCTCTAGAGATAACACTCTTGATGACTTTAAATAGATTAATCTGTTTCTTGCATTAAGAAAAAAAAAGCTTGATGACTTTAAATAGGTGAATCTGTTTCTTGCATTAAGAAAAAAAAAAAAATCATTTACGCATAAGAACCCATAAATAAATCTCAAACCTATTTACTCATAAATAAATTTGGACCGTAATAACTTTAAATAATTAATGTAATAATTTTAAATCGCATGAGTGATACATTTTTTATATAAATATGTTGTAAAGTATTACACCATTCTTGCACGAGTGTTTCACATATAATTTAGGGTGTTAAATTATAATGTTACGTTATATTAAATTTTCAACTACATGCATTTCTAGACATTGCGAAGATTTATATTGACCAGTAACAACGGATAGAGATAGATAGAAACTTGTTTGTATTTTCCTCTCTTTTCCTTTCTCATATTGGGAAGACATACCAATTCATCCAATCAGATACCAATTCATCATACTCCTAGAATATCCAAAAATAAATAAATAAATCCCCCAAATTTCAGCCCTCACTCACAATATTGACCCTAACAAATTTCAAACACAACCCTTTGAAGAGAAATCATACAATCTGGACCATTGGTATGGTAAAATATCCAGTAATTTCTACTCTATTTCCTCTTGCGTACCCATAACGCTAAAGAAGAAATATTGCAAGAAAACAATCTCTTCAGAACTAAAATGGCCCTCTAATTGAGTTGTATAGCTTGTTAAAAAGGGTAAAATGCCAAATTAGGTATCAGAGACGCCATTCACATAAAAAAAACACCAGCATCAACCATCTTCTGGCATATTAATACTGTTGCCATTTGCAGCATTTGGGAAGTAGTTTTCGTCGATACCATATTTTGGTGCACTGGGCTACCACAAAACACAAGGTTATGAAAGTATTGCTATGAGCTAGAAGGTTGTCGATGATAAAAGTATATATATAAATATATAAAATAAACACATTTCATCATAGGATGAAGCAGAGTTGAAGAAAATCCACAAGCCATACTTTTAACAGCAAACTATTTCTCTTTATTCTTTTATTTTTATTTTTTATTTTTCGATAGATAAACAGAAACCACTTCTTTAGCAGCATCTACATCTTTGACCGGATGCGGCTCAAGCTTGCTTCAATTGTTCCATGCGGTTCACTGGTTGGTAGATATACATCGTCTTCAAACTGCAAAAATCACGAACAGCATTGTACATCAGGTAATCCTTTCACTCACACACACCAAGATAAATATCAACAAATTATGCAAAGTGGAATCTAAGTAATTTGAAAAAAGAAAAAGAAAAGGAGGAAAATTTAGCCAGTTTGCACTGGTGACAATATGATCAACAAATCAGACCGCTCTAGGACAGACAAACACAACTGGTCCACCATTACACATCTCTATAAAAAGCTAAAGTCAAACAGTAATTTACATTGCGCTATGCTTGCCGTTCCTGAATTATTTCAGCTCGTGAATATGTATGAGCCCACACAAATATACGCAGACAAGAACATGCTCCTTAAGAACATGGATGGTTTTATACACACAAATTTTTTAACATCGCAAAATCTGACAGCTGGATTCATGACAACAAATAAACAAAATTTGTGCACCATTATTATCCATCATTGTAGATGTTTATGAAACAAGAAGGATCATCCATTCTATGTTCTTTCCACCTTTTGATAAAAAGGATCAAAAACTTAAAAAAAAATTGGTAGCGTTTAAGAAAAAGAAAGGAAAAAAAAATTGGTAGCGTTTAAGAAAAAGAAAGGAGAATCACTTGGACAAAAGCTGTGAAATAACCGTCAGTCTCAGGAAAGCCAGCCCAACCCAAACCCTCCCACAAACATGTGAAACCCATCTAAAAGATACGAATAATTCGGTCTGATAGCCTCAACCCTAGAGCCGCTTAGCACAAAACAAATGTTCTTCTCTCCTTCATGGAAGTTCATCTTGTTAACTGTGAAATTTTTATCCCCTAGCCAATCCTCCCCATCCCCCTAACCAAAAAGTACAAAAATCTGGAGCTAATCCAATGCAGCATGTTCATTATGTCCTTCCCTTCAAATTTTCATCTTTTCATGGTTAATTTGTAATGAGATTGGTGGTACATTATTTCTCAGAATTTTTTTTTTTTTTTTGGAACCTCAAGTCAACAAATGAAATGAATAACCTACCTTAACAATAGCTGGCTTATCTTTGGTTGATAAATTAACTGGCAGGAAATGGATATTTGGCATTTCCAAATGGACCGACGATATATCAGGGAACCTGAAAACGTTACAATCAAGGGTCAGACCTCCTGCAAAATCCATACATTCATCCATATATATTATCAAAACAAGTTGATCTGACTAAGCGTCTCTTTGGTGTCTGATTTTTTGTGTGCGCACGCGCGCGCGTGTAGAGAGAGAGAGAGAGACCTGTCAAGAACAGCCTTTGCCATGTGATAAAGAGTGCTCTGAACAGATGGGCTGTAAACTCCAACTTGTGGTGGACCAAAAAAAGTCTCAACCAAAACTTTTTTCACATCCTGGTATCTCTCAGTGAAGTAAAGTGGCTTCAAAGGAATGCTTGATAGAGATTCAAAAGTGTATCTGCATCAGTAATATTACATCACACAACATGCCCTTGAATTTTTCATACTTTGAGAAACGTAACTACCAATGCAAAAAACTAAAACGAGAAAAAAAGAAACCAACAGAATGTACAGCACTTCTGTATGATTTATATTCATTTTCAGATATCAGCATAAGTTCTCATCATTCAGAACTACATAAATTAAACATACCTCCATGATGCAGTGACTTCTGTTGCCAGCAATCTCTCTCGTGTTTCAGGCAATATTGTGTATTTGTCCCTTATGAATCCTTCAAATCCTGACTGTTCGATATAAACGTCATAATAAGCAACTAATGAGCAAACCCAATTACATCACATGTATCTGCTAACTCTGCAACCACCACTTTAATATTATAGTCGTCATAGTAGCTTTGCATTGTCCATGGCATATTAACTTCTATAGGAACAACTGAACCGTACCAATACAAAGAGACTCCTAGAATATGTGCGCATAAAAAAGCTAACTTAAGCAAGTAAATTTTATTTTTTATCTTTTATTTTTTTGGTGCAAAATTATTTACAGAGTGAAAAACTCAACCGACTAATCAAAAGAATAGAAGGAAACCAATTGTCATTAAAGAGATATATCATGTGATTCATGTGGACCAAACATGAAGATACTTATTGGTCATCTACTAGTAGCATTGTTTAGTCCGCCTAAACTATCGGCTTCTTTAGCATTGCTTTTTTCCTTTTTTTCCTTATATCTGGTGTTGGACCTTGGAAGTTCAATGAGAACTAACTATAGTATTATTTTAAAATTCTACAAAATTTACAGTGTGATCCACCTTATGGCAACACAGTGTTTTAATACTATTCCCCCAACCCGCACAAAATGAACCATCCACATCTCCAAGTGTTCAGTTCATGCCTTGGCTTGATGCTGGTTCCCCTTTTACGAAAACAAATCTTCTTAGTTTCAGTTCTAGACGGAGGGGCCTTTTACCAAAACTACCCCAAAAACAAATTCCCCATAAAATTTCTATTTGGGTGGTGCACCCCCTTCCCCATCACATAACCATCTTTTGGAGTAATTAAGAGCTAAAGACTTCATACAGAAAGAAAAGTGATTGTTTCTGTCCAATGTGTAATAACTAGAATATCATGTGGAAGAGTTCCTTGCTTTTTTATTTTTGATAAGTAGTGTAAGAGTTCCTTGCTAAGTTCCCACATAGGCTTGGAGAAAAAGACATTTACTACTAAAACACCCCTTCCCCTAATTTACATGGACTTACCCCTTCTGACTTATTATGTACAGGATTTCTAACAGTGTGCCTGGATGAGTTGGTTGGTCTGGCATTGCAAAATATTTAGTTTATATTGCGCACATAGAGACTTTTCATTTTTTCTTCCCCTTTTTTTTTTATTTTTTATTTTTATTTTTTATTTTTTATCAAGTATAGAGACCTTTCATTTGTCATTTGTTTTAGTTCAATTCTTTTTAATCATTTCAGTTCTGGATTGTATTATTTAGACCAACGGTATCCAATTGGCCATTTTCCCCAACCTACATCATGTGCACCCTTAAGTTCTGCATGCCTTAAAAAAACAGTAACAGTGTGCCTGTGCATTTGCCAGATAAGAGCATCCAAAACCTTAAAGCAACAGAAATTTCTTATTTAAGGCATTGCTCATAGTGCACTTGGGTTGGGTTAGTTTACAACAAATCCCATTCCCTAACCAATCTCCTCATTTTTACAACCCACGTCCGGGCCAAAGCATGAAAGAACCAAATAACTGAGTTTTGTTCAAACCAATTATTATCCTCCAAGCAGGACACAAAATCTGACCTTTTTTTTTACTTTCTGGTTCTAATATCAAACCTATTGTACAATAAATCATGCCTTAATTGTCATATAGAACACTAAATAACAATTATAAAAAGAATTTTTAGATACTAAATTACTAGGTTGGCAAGTCCACCGAAGCCCAATAGCCCACTAGTGCAGGTCCATTCTGCTAAAAAGCTGAGGTAATGCTTATACAAAAAAGGAAGGCCCGAAAGTTCATTCTCTTATCTGCATGAAAAGGAATCACAGTAGTTTGCTATACATATATAACTCACATCCCCTCCCTTTAGATAAAATGCTAGACTTCACTACAGCAGTACAAGTTGTGCAATGGCATTGACAACAAAGTTCTGCTCTATAAAAGGCTGTCTCTCTCACATATACTGTAGGTTACAAATATTCAGGAAGGAGCAAGGTTATTAGATATTTTTAATGGGCAACTGGTTCTTATGTTGGTTCATGTAAAAACCAATTCCCAACCTAGACCTGAACTCGGTTTTAAGAAAATTAGAACATGCAAAATGCTACTTAAAATCAAACCAAACCAACCTACTAATGTTGGGTTGGCTTGGTTTTCAAGTTTGCCAATCCAGATGTGCAATCCTAACACAAAATATTATAAATCAATCACATTCACAAAGTATAGTGCTTCAATTATATCTGACTGTCAAGCTCCCCAAGCGGAAGAAAAGATTCATAGTTCTCATGAAAAAATACAGATTAAATGGCAATTAACGAGTTTGAGGTGGTTTCAAGCAATTTTCCAAACAACTTAAAAATGGAGGTAATGAAAAATACATGTGATATCAACTTAAATTTTAAATACCTAATAGAGAATTTCAAAGCAATTTAGCTCACCTTGGTTGTCTTCAGCACTGCCAGTCCTTCAATACCAGAAGTCACCTGCAAGTTGCCAGATTTCTCTACGATAACTTCTGTTATATGCTTCTCAGATCCAAGTTTAAAACCTTGTAGAGAAGACAATGACAAAGCTTAATACAGTTTCGTGGCAATACCTTATTTTGCAAAATGTAAGAAAGAAAGTTCTAGATAAATATGAGCTGGAACAACCTATAGGATTATAACTATGTCAATAACCCATAATAACCATTTTGAAGCCTTGGGGTGTATTTCACATTTTCCTTATCCTAACATGTGAATCAAACACATCTTTTAGCACCTTGGACTCGCATACGGTACAAGAGTTGGTAAATTGCTGACCAAGATCCGATCTTGGGACGTATTAGTGTTTCATAGTATGAGAATAATACAGGAATACCATTGACATGGTGATTAGATAATTAGTACCCACAATGCTAGTCCATTTTAGGTGCTTATGTGAAGGGCAACAAGTAGCAACAATGAAAAAGCATTATGCCTTGGATCATTTAGCATAGAAAAGTTGTCTCTCTTCAGAAAAAGTAATATAAAAAATAAATAAACAATGAAGAAAGGTAGTTAAGAAAGAATATTTAAATACGAACACTACTTTCTGAGACAAAGGTAAAAAGCATAATCCACATGGAAATCAATAATTAACTTAATACAGATCTTTCAGAATGAAAAGAAAAACATTCTTGTCTTTGAATGTTTAAAATGACTAACCATGATCATGTGGTTGACCATCTATGCATATACGCTCCCATGGTTTTTCCACTATCTTAATGATGGCAGTGGTAACCTACATAAAAAGAATGTAAAATATTCCACAAATTATATAAATACCAAGGGGTAAAGTATAGAGGGAGCTATATACTACAATGACCTAAGGTACCCATCATGTTTCTTAGAGTATGCCAAATTTTTTTTGTCAAATATCTGAATTACATGGATTCTTTCCTTTGTTTTCTTGCCCTGGCTGGTGATTGGGAGAGGGAGGGGATAGTTGTTACAGCATCAATGTTTCAAATTAATGCACCGCATTTATTTGTCTACATTTTTTCAAAAACTTTTTAATGAAATTGAGCAGTAAATTTCATCTCAAGTTGTCTATAAACCTCAACCCTAAGGGCAATATTGCCCATAAAAATGAGGACAAGTGTCAATGGGGCATTTTGTCCTTCATTGATCCTATAACTGTATTTCTAAAGAAACAAGAGGGATATTCAAAGCTTTTACATGCTTTACACAATTCTATAAGTATTTAACACATAACATCGATAATATTTTCTTAGTTATATGGTAAAAATAAATTGATTATACTTAGAAGTCTTAGCTGATTCTATGCAAAATAAAAAATAAAAAACTATAAAACATGATCAAACATAAACAAAACTACCATCTAACTACCAGCTCTTTTTAATATGACAAAATCAACCTAATTAATAGCAGATACCGGTTGATAAAAGGATGTGAAGTGCTTGCCAAGTCCAATTGCAAAGTCCTCCACTGCAATTTGTTTTGTATGTTCCTTTGCTTTCACGTATACCTATATTAAAACCCAGAAGTCAAGTTGATTTAAATGAAAAAGACCTCAGCAAGGACGAAATGAAGGTGAGGTGAAAACATGTGTAACGTGGTGTTTCCAGAAATTTCTACTAGAAAAAGTTCACATTTTCAAGTTTACAATTTATGGGGTTAATGTAAAACATAAAACAATCCAAATGTGTGGTGTTTTCGTATTTCTCACTACTTTTTCCATTATTAGAACTTCAGCAGATCTCCACGGAAGACTTTTATCTTCTTTGTTTTAGTTATCTATGTTTAATTTTATCGAGATTTTTGTCCTTGTACTAGAAATGGGCTCCATTTCCTTTTTTGTCAAAGGGGTATACCTCATTTTATCTCCTGTAATCTATTTTCTAATGATAGCCCAACAACGAGAATTTTTTTTTTTTTTGAAAGATCAAAGTTCATCAAATATTGCCAATCACGCCCTTTGTCTTTTTTAACTCCAGCTTTATCTTTTAGCCAAGCAAGTTACAAAAGGAAAATTTTCTATCAGACATTTCTCTTTCATGCATTTTCTCATCAACAGATCTTATAAGTTAGAATAAAATTTCTCAATTTCCTATTGCTAAATAAACATGTGCTGTAGAATATAAACAACAAAACAAATTGAATCCTTTATCGCTTTTTAGCAGTTCGAAAAGAAATCTTAAAGAGAAATTACTACAAACATCAAGATCTAAACAGAGGAAAAGCAGAGTGACGAGCCAAGCAAACATTGAACTTTCATGAGAAAGATGAGTGTATGTGTGATGAGAGAGAATTTACAGTGTTCTTCATGGTATCGGTGGCGACGATACTGGAATTGTCGCCGCGATCATAGGCGGGAAGGCAATCGGAGAGGAGGCTGACGTTGACGCTCCATTCGACGAAGAAATGGCGGCCATCTTCGTTCTTCCAAACCCTAGCGACTCTCACCCTGGCCTTGCCGTGCTTCTGCTCGAATTTCAAGCCATTAATTCCGTTGGCCATGTCTGTTATTCACTGTAACTATACTCTGTATCTGTACGAGAGTCGTACTTTCAGATTTTGATCCGCGTATATAGAGAATGAGAGATGAGAGGTGGAGTGAATTATGGCAGGCTTGACAGCACTGGCTTTTATGATACGTGTGTGGAGAGAGAGAGGGGACTAGCTCCACTCCCTATTAAAGCGCGTGGATGATACGAAGCTCCGGACCAATGCTTTTTTAAAATTTTAATACCCCATCCCTCTCAAATTAAAGATTCCTTTTCGAAATCTAAAAGGATCTGCCTAACTACTAATTCTGAAACCAATTATTAGAAATTCAGAAAATAGTGGTATGCTTGCTCTGTAATTTTTAGAATAATTTTTTATTTTTAAAAGTATTAAATTTTTTAACAACTCAGTTATAAAAAAGTTTATTTTTAGATAATTGTCTTTTATCATTTTCTAAAAACTGTTATATATTTTCTAAATTATTGAGAACTGTTTTTTCAGAATTACAAATTTTAAAAAATAGTTTTTAAAAAATTATAAAAGATTGTTTTCTAAAAACATGTTTTTTATAACTGAGTTTTACTAAAACAATTTTAAAAAAACTGAACCAAACAGAATTTTTTGTACTCTCAGAAAACTGTTCTCATAATTATAAACCAAAGAGACACTAACTTTAAGATGATAGTTTTAATAGTATTTTTTATATTGATAGTGAATGAATTATAAAATATGTCCATAGTGGGTCTATAAAATGTGATTGTTTAATTTTTACAAGTTTAGTAAGAAGGTTAAATATGAAAAAAAAAAAAAAAAAAAAAAAAGTTAAATTGGTAATACTATAAAAAAAATAGTATTTTGACTTTTCAAATGAGAAATTTTTATACAAAAAATAAAAATAAAAATATTTTATTTGAGACGAAACTATGTTTTTAACTATATGGAAATGTTTTTAATTATATGGAATTATATGTATTCAGCGGTGGATTATAAAATGCTTTAAGAAATTGACACCACTTTGGTATATAAAAAATAATAATAATAAATAAATAAATAAAAATTAGTAATAAAAAAATAAGAAAAAAACCAATAATGCTAACTGTACATCAGCAAGGCATCTTATCTGGTTAGAATATCAATTTCATAATGAGAGTAGGCTAGTGCTTCACGTGTTTAAAGACCTTTGACCAGTTAAGAAATACTTTATAAATCAAACCGTAACAAAAATTATAATATAATATTTTTAACCATGTGAGACCTTTATAACCGATGAAAGCAACATGCGTTGATAGACTTTTCTTGTCATGCAAAGCTCTCAATCAAAAGTCAAATATAAAGGCAAAAGGAAGAGATAAAACTCGAATACAAAATATTATAAATTCCTAACTTTTCCTTTCAAATCTAAACCGTCCATTTGCGGACCAAAATAACAGAACGCAAAGTTTTAGGAAAAATGAACAATTGCAACAAGTAGGTAACTACGTATGTGATAATGACTTTTGATCAGTGCTCATAAAGGTTATGCTTTTCTTGTCTTCTATTGGGCTTGTGTTGTGTGACCCATATGGGGAATGTCTGGCCGAAGGCCCACCCTTTGTAATTATTTCCTCCTTATTATAGTTACTTAAAAAAAAAAAAAAAAAAAAAAAAGGTGAGCCCCGATAAGTGCTTCTGAAAGTGTACATTTTTTTTTTGGGTTTAATGTCTGAAAGTGTACTTTGCTTATGCTCTTCTTTTTTTTTTTTTTTTTAACGCCAAACAATCAGCTAACATTCAAATAACCGGAATTACATAATATGAGAGAAAAGCATTTAACAATCATGAAGACCATATATTCCACTCTAAATCGCCACATTCGACTTTAAAGGCATGTTTGCTTAACAAATGACCCACCAAATTACCGCCTCGAGGAACCCACGCTAAGGATGAGCCGTGACATTCTTGGAGCAAAGAGAAAATATCCTTAAATAGAACATGAAGAGCATCCTCCGACGCAATCAAATGCATGACTGGTTGGCAATCACCTTCCACAATCACCTTGGAATAACCCCAACATTTGAGCAGCACGAGAGCCTCCCGAAGCATCAGACCCTCGGCCAACAAGGGGCTGCAAACATTAGGGAAGAAAAAGGTAGCAACCTTAATAGGATGGCCGTGATGGTCTCGAAGAATCACTCCTCCACCACACAAACGACGGGAAGAGCAAACGAGGCATCAAAATTTAGCTTATAACAATGAATAGCCGGCGCAGACCAGCACACAACAGAAGGAGAAACAGACAACAAAGGCTGAAAAGACAACCTGCTGGACTTACGGGCCTGATTTTGAAATTCCAGAAAAGCATGATAAGTCAGCAAACTGACTTCATAAGGATCACGATGCCGTCGATGAAAAACCAGATCATTGCAACTTTTCCAGAAGGACCAGCAGACAAAAGCCGCCAAGCCGATACATTCATCCGAGACTAGAGAATCAGCCCACATCTCACAAAGAGAAACCCTAGTCCTCGGCCAAAATGACGACTGCAACTTAGTAAAATCGACTCGCAAAGGACATAATTGCCAAACCAAGCAAGCAAATGGGCAAGAACAAAGAAGGTGAGCAATTGACTCAACAGCAAACCACATACCGAACACAACGGGAAATCAACAACTCCACGACGCCAAAGTAAATCATTCACTAGAACACGGTCATGAAGAGATTGCCAAATGAAAAATTGGATCTTACGATGGGCATGAAGCAACCCCACTTGACGCCACATTGAACCGCGGTTGGCATCAAAGCTACTCCCGACCGGAGAGAGAGAGAAGGAACACTGGGACGAAGAATGGAATCGGCAACATAGTAAGCACTTTTGACCGAAAATCAGCCATTACCGGAAGCGCCCTAAATTTTACAGTCCAAACCACCTGACAAACTTAGAGGGATTTGCAATATAAGATCACGATCACGATGGTTAAAAAACTGACCAATCAAATCAGAGTTCCATTTGTGAGCCGTGGGGAGGATCAAATCTGCAACCAAGGAGATGGCAGTCCCTTGAGGCCGAGAGATCATGGAGAAATTAACCGGATCTGGGAGCCAATTATCATGCCAACAATGAACTTTAGAACCATCTCCAATGCGCTAGCTGTGATACCCCTCGGATCCGAGACACGGGTTGATCAGGCCCAAGCTCAAACCCGAGGGAAATATCCAACAATTAATATGTAATACGAACACAGATGACAAAATGAATTTGATAAATAAAGTTTATGCTGGAAGAAAACTAAATATAAAAACCTTTAATATTAAATAGACTTAAATCCCAATAATCCAAAACCTCCATAAGTTAACAACTCGGGAATCTATCTCCAGTGGACCCCAAAAAACCCAACTGAATGACAGTAAACTGAAGATAAAATCCAAATCAAATATCTGGAAATAAGTCCTACATCGTCGGTAGAATGGAAGATCTTCTCTGCCCAGCACGAACAAGCTCAAGCCTGGAACTGACATACACCTGGAAAAATAGGAGTGGGTCAGGCCCACGAACAAGTTCTAACCTACTACAATCCAAGCAGAGACTCGATACGCATATACACTCTAACCAACTCAACAATAACTATATAACTCGTGTGTATATATATATATATCCCTATTAAGGGACATTCACTGGACTACAGTAGGGGTCTCAACCTGAATAGAAGGCAACATGCGAAAACGCACCCAAAGGTGGGCATGAGTACCTAGACCTAACAGGGTACACCTCAATCTACTATAGCCAGTTACGCATCCACTGCATATACGCACCCTAACCAACGAGTCTGAGACTCAAGCTCCTCTCTTGGTACCATAAACATATATTTAAAATCCGTTTATAACAATCCGTAATAAATCTAGTAAGTCGTTCAGCTTATTCAACTGCACAGACTTAACATGGATAACCAGTACTCCAGCTAGTCATTCAGCTTTTGCAACTTCTTTGACTTAGCCTAAATATAAGTAGGATTTATTTTTAATCCATTCCCTTATTCCGTATAGGTAGGATATAGCAATTTTGAGCCAAATCCAAACCTAGTATGTCACCGTCCCATACCGATGCATACAATCCAATCCATCCGGCAGTTAATAGAATAAATAAAAATATAACTATCAACCAATCCATACATTCCACAATTGACAATAAAACACTAAGTACAAATATCAATTGTTCCATATTAAGCATGATAAAATAATTGTCAATTAACAAGCTTAATCTATACTACCCTATAAGGTCCACTAATTGATATTACAGTTTATACATGTAAACCAATTAATTCTAATCAACCATAATAGAATATAAATGTTCACAGGTTTATTTTTAGTAATTCTGGAACATGACTAACTGCAAATCATCACTAAGAATTTTAATGCCAAAGCTTAAACATCTTGCAGTTCCTCCCATCCAAACTGTAAACCAACTTAGGCCCAAATAAGCATACTAAACCATTTAGATCCACAAGCTTATTTTATAACATTGAGATAGGTTTAATTGAGAATTTTATTGCTAAGAATTGCTATTCTAAGTGTTAAACAATTCTGCATCCTTTCATAACAAAAACCCAGTAAACTGATTAATTAAGCATTGTCCACTGTCGCATTAAAACAAAGTTGTTTTATTTTGCATAAATCTTCTCTTAAGGATTTTAATCAAGTTTAGACCACCTCTAAACACCTCAGTATAGCTTCCAACAGAAACTGAAAATCCCAAAATCCAAGTTCTGTAGCCCACACAGTCGCAGAAAGATTAAAAACGCACACCCGAGGGAAGAGCCTGCTCCACCAAAAGAAGAGCCTGCTCTTCCCATCTTGGAGCCAGCTCTACTTAAAAGTAGAGCCTGCTCCAAGACCCCTAGAGCCGGCTCTACTTAAAAGTAGAGCCTGCTCTTCGTCCGGAAGAGCCTGCTCTTTAAAACAGTAAGCCGTCTCTCTTTCTGTTCTTCATCGTTTTGAATTCCGGTGAGTTTCTGATGAACTGACCTTCATACCTAGGGTTCCTAAGTGTTTAAATTAGGTTCCAACTTATACCAGAATCCACTAAATTCATTGTTCAGTTACTAAAATTAATTAAAACATGAATTTTGCATCAAAAGTTTAATACGAGCAG